GGGACCGCAGCCGCAGGAGAGACTCCGGAGGGAGAGACAAGGAGGCGGTTCGAGAGTCCCACACGAGACCCAGCCAAGTCCGAACTTGAGAGGGAACCAGATGGGACTTCCTCCAGTTCACCAAGAACCCGAACTCGGCGAGCTGGGAAAGAACCAAATCCCTGGCTAGCAAGCAAGCTGACTGGCTGGCTGGGAGCCCAAACCAGCCAGTCGTCGAAGTAGGCCAACACCCGAACACCTAGGAGACGCAAACGAGCCACCACAACCCGTGTAAGGCGCGTGAACACGCGAGGTGCCAGGTTCAACCCGAACGGGAGACAACGAAAGCGGTAACTCAGACGCCCCACAACAAAACCGAGCCAGTCCCTGAACCGCGGATGAATCGGGACATGCCAATAAGCGTCCCGGAGGTCCAGGGACACCATCCAAGCTCCCGGCTCCAAGAGGAGCCGAACCTGAGACAGCGTAGTCATCCGAAAGGAGGGGCAATGAACCCAGGGGTTCAGACGGGACAAGTCCAGAATGAACCGTAGGTCCGCGCAGTCCCGTTTCGGAACCGGAAACAGACGGGAAACCCATCTGAGGGACGACGTCGTTTCGACGACGCCCAAACGTACCCACTCCCAGACGACTCGACAGAGCGCAGGGAAAGAAACCTGCCCTGCCAGGCCCCTCCCCCCCAAAGGGGGGAGGGGCCACCCAACGCCACCGCAGGCCGCGAGACACGACCCGAAAGGCCCACGAACCGTGGGACCAGGCGCGGGCGAACAGCGCAAGCCGCCCCCCCATCGCCCCGTCAAGGGGGCAAACCGCGAAAGGGCCGGCGACCCTTACGAGACCCAGAACCCCGCACAGCGTGAACACCGCGTCGACCAGACGAGGGAGGGTCCGCAGGAGGAGCCAACCCCAAACCTGACACCAGAGGCCTACCACGACGAGAGGAACCCCGAGCGCTGGCACGACCTTTCCGGGAAGACCCACCCCGGGACCCCCGGAAAACCAACAAGTCCGACATCGGACGACAAGCCGCCGACGCAGCCTGAATAAACTGCGCCACGGCCGACTCCCCAAACAGGAGAGGACAAAAAGGTGAAGAACGCTTAAGAGCCAGAGCCCAAGCAGATTCCACGGAGGAACCCAGCACCGCCTGCCGACACGCGAGACGGGAAGCATAGAACAGGGAAACCGCATCCCACAAAATTGGCGTGAACAGCTTCAACAAGGCAGCCGACGAACGCGCAGCCGAGGACAAGGTGCCGGACCCCGGGACGGACCCAAGCGTCCCCACATCCTCCATGAGCCAAGCCAAAGACAGCTCCAGGAGGGAAAAGAACCGCAAGGCCGAACACAAAAGGCCCCGGGCGCGCAAGTCCTCCGCAACGAGCGCCGCCGAAAGGGAGGGAACCTGCACATGAAGCTGAATAACGCCCACATCGCGGGGAAGGGCAGGGGCAAACAAGCACTCATTCAGGTACTCAAGGTCACCCCCAGGAAAACCTGAAGCACCGTGGAAGCTTCCCGCCACTCCAGCGTGCGGGAACGACAGAAGGAATGCCAGGAATCCAGACCAAACAAGGGGCAGTCTGCTAGCCAGGACGACTCCGGAACCTCGTAACGGAGCCAGAAAGGGAACGAAGTCCCAAACCTGAACGTGGACGGATCCATTTCCGAGGCATACTCTGGGTCACGCAGGAGGTAAGCTGCAAAGGCCGCTCGCACCACACCAGGTTGGAGGCGATAAGCCGAAAACCTCCGGAAGGACGGAACCGACGTACCCGGGGGAACACGGAACCGAACCCGGGGAGGGGCTGACACCAAATCCAACTCGTACGCAGAGGGGGGAAAAGAAAACCCCACTCCTTGTAACAATAAGCCCCGCTCAGTGGGAAGAGAAACCCAGGCGGGGTCCAGCGGGGCCCAAGGCCCCCAAGTCAGCCCCTCCCCAGCCTAGAGGTCCGTCACCACAGGACCCGAGGCCGAGTCCTCTCCCCAAGCCCCGACCCCACAAGACAAGGACGGAGCAGCCGGAAAAGCTGGAGGAAGGGGGGCCCAGTGGTCAGACCCTGAAGCTTCGGCCGGGAGACAGGACTCGAATGCCTCTGCCGCCCCCCCGGAAGGGGCAACCCCCAAAGCTGCCCGAGTCTCGAGATCAAGTAACCCCTGCTCCGACCCCGAAACCCTCAGACGCTTCGGGGCCGGAAGCAGGGGCGGGGGACCAGAACGAACAGAAGGGGAAGGACGAGGAGGTGCGGACTGAACCAGGATCGAAGCGACCCCCACCCCCAAGTCCGGGTCTCGAAAAGCAAAGCGGGCAGCCCCGGGGCATCCGGGGAAGCAACCAAACGAGCGCGTTGCAACAGACGAAACCTAGACTGCAACGCACGTGCCGCCTGTACCCGAATAGAATCATCAGAGGATTGGGTAAATTGAGTCACAAGCAAGCAGCAACACTCACAGGACTCAGGGTCGAAAGTATCACCGACCCAACAGGCAGCGTGGCAGAGGCAAAAACAATGAGGGTCACCCTGAGACAAGGGGACCGAGCAACCCTCAAACTCGCACACAGCGAGTGGGGACTCCGGGGTCACATCCATCGGACCCACGCGCCCCCTAGGGGATTCCCAGGGTCCTGAGCGTTTACTTTAAGAGGACTCGCGCTCAGGTAGTCCCAGGCAGGGTGCTGCAAACCGGCGCCCAAAACTACCAAGCAAACTTCTAAAGGTGAACCCAAGGGACGTACACTCACAGGGACCTAGCAGGGGGCGCCACCGAGAACAGTGGAAGGGCAAAAACAAACTGAATAAAATGACAGAACCCCCCACCAGGCAAAAACAAAAAGAAAAACAAAACCCCGCAAGAGGACAGCGAACCCCAAGGAACAGAGCCGGCCGCGATGTCGGGAAATACAAGCTGAGCAGCACCCTGCGCCCCTACCAGTGCAAACTGCCTCTTACCTGCCGGTAACAAGGGAGAACAGAACACCCAAGAGCCCAACAGGCGGCCGAAAAACCGAAAGGTAAAACGGACCAGCAGAGGCAGACCCCGAGGAGCCTGTGGAAGGTGACCCCAAGCCCCAAGGGCAGTACTTACAGGGCACCTAGGGAAGGCAGCCCTAGGCGCATGCAGCCCGAGTACTGAAGATAACTCCCGGCTCTCGCACCCACAAAACTAACACCACACGCAAAGCACAGTGCAGTAGCGACACCGGAGCCAGAGCACACGACCATCGCCTATAGCATCAGCCTCAAGAACTGAGGTGTGGGTAGCCGGCGCGGGGGGTCTGGGGCTCCCCCTTCCCCCTCCCGGGGAGGGGGGAGCTGCGCAGACAGCGGCGCGGCAGTGTGTGACGTCACACTAGTTTGCTTGTTTTCGGTTGGGGAGTTCTATCCACTAGTTCGGTTTTTGGTAGCAATTTTAACCAGAATAGGGGTTTGTTTTGGGGCGCTTACCTTTCTGGGTGCCTGTTCCGGTCGATGGCAGACATAGAATGCTTCCAACTACACGGGGGCTTCTATAGGCCATTGCTCCCCTTGCCTCTCTGAGGGGGCCCGGTTCTGGCCGTGGTCCCCGGTAGGCCTAAGAACTCCATACACATGACTGATGCCAAAGTCTGACATTAGCATATCAGCCTGGGATAGCTCCGGGGAGCCGACGGGGCTCCCCCCAGAAATATATATATATATATATATATATATATATATATATATATATATATATATATATATATATATATATATATATATATATATATATATATATATATATATATATATATATATATATATATATATATAAAGGCACAACTCTCCTAAACACGAGAGTGAAGTATACAACTTTAGAACACTTTCCCACCAGGAGACTCGAACCCTAGCCAGCACAGAAGCCTTCCAGCAACTGGCATAACAGGTACGCCTTAACCCGCTCCACCACAGTGGTGGAGCGGGTTAAGGCGTACCTGTTATGCCAGTTGCTGGAAGGCTTCTGTGCTGGCTAGGGTTCGAGTCTCCTGGTGGGAAAGTGTTCTAAAGTTGTATATATATAAAATATATATATATATATATATATATATGTCGTACCTAGTAGCCAGAACTCACTTCTCAGCCTACTATTCAAGGCCCGATTTGCCTAATAAGCCAAGTTTTCCTGAATTAATATATTTTCTATAATTTTTTTCTTATGAAATGATAAAGCAACCTTTTTCTCTATGTATGAGGTCAATTTTTTTTATTGGAGTTAAAATTAACGTAGATATATGACCGAACCTAATCAACCCTACCTAACCTAACCTAACCTATATTTATAGGTAAGGTTAGGTTAAGTAGCCAAAAAAAGCTAGGTTAGGTTAGGTTAGGTAGGTTAGGTAGACGAAAAAACATTAATTCATGAAAACTTGGCTTATTAGGCAAATCGGGCCTTGAATAGTAGGCTGAGAAGTGCGTTCTGGCTATTAGGTACGACATATATATATATATATATATATATATAATATATATATATATGTCGTACCTAGTAGCCAGAACGCACTTCTCTGCCTACTATGCAAGGCCAGATTTGCCTAATAAGCCAAGTTTTCCAGAATCATTATATTTTCTCAAATTTTTTTCTTATGAAATGATAAAGCTACCCATTTCATTATGTATCAGGTCACTTTTTTTTTATTGGGGTTAAAATTAACGTAGATATATGACCGAACCTAACCAACCCTACCTAACCTAACCTAACCTATCTTTATACGTTAGGTTAGGTTAGGTAGCCGAAAATGTTAGGTTAGGTTAGGTTAGGTAGGTTAGGTAGTCGAAAAAACATTAATTCATGAAAACTTGGCTTATTAGGCAAATCGGGCCTTGCATAGTAGGCATAGAAGTGCGTTCTGGCTACTAGGTACGACATATATATATATATATATATATATATATATATATATATATATATATATATATATATATATATATATATATATATATATATATATATATATAGCAATAACAAAGTTGACTGACCATGGTTATCAAAGCCGTGAACCAGTTCGTGTCCCACTACCACACCAAGGCTTCCGTAGTTCAGGTACCTGGCCACGTGACAAAGTCGTTAATACGGGGTACTGTAAATTCAAATAATTAAAGTGATTAATTATATACCTAGTGCTACAGCATCTTTGACATGTCCTTGGCTCGGTAAATCACAGCTCCCATGGTCAGGGACAGGAGGCCTATACTTATCAAGGACCTCCTAAGCCAACTTTTGACCTTCCCCCTGGATGCAACTCACAACAGTTGCCTAACTTCAAGGTGCCTACTTTACTACTAAGTTAACAGAGGCATCAAGTGAAAGAACTGGTGCCCAACTGATTCAATTCTGCCTAGATATTGAACCCGGGTGGCCCAGTTGTAAGCCAAGGACATAGACCACTGTGATACAGGACCTATGAAAAGATGCACGTTTCTCATTATGAATAAAAGCACTGATTGTTTATTAATTATTTAATTAAAATGTTTTGAAGTATACATTTTATCCAGGAATGACGTCTATCTTAATGATATTTATGCTATGGAAAATATTCTATAATAAAGACTATTACTTAAAATTTCAAATTAATAATCTTAAATTATGAAAAACTGGCAAATTGCGAGAGGGCCAGAGACCAAAAGACACAAAAATGGAATCAATACAGGAAGAGGCCAAACCCCCAAACATACCAGCGATACAAAGATGCGAGAAATAACTACAGGGCAGTGAGGAGAGAGGCAGAAAGAAATTTTGAACAAGGGATTGCAGACAAGTGTAAAACAGAACCAGGTCTATTCTATAAATTCATAAATAACAAATTGCAGGTAAAGGATAATATTCAGAGGTTGAAAATGGGAAATAGATTCACAGAAAATGAAAAGGAAATGTGTGAAACATGAAACGAAAAGTTCCAAAGTGTTTGTACAAAATGAAATCTTCAGGGAATCAGACACAATAAGAATTCCAGAGAACAACATAGAGCACAGAGGTGTCTAGAGATGAAGTGGAAAAAATGCTCAAGGAGCTAAATAAGAACAAAGCAGTTAGTCCAGATGGAGTTTCACCATGGGTTCTGAGAGAATGTGCATCTGAGCTCAGCATTCCACTTCACCTGATCTTTCAGGCATCCCTGTGTACAGGAATCGTAGCAGACGTGTGGAAACAGGCTAACATAGTTCCAATCTACAAAAGTGGCAGCAGGGAAGACCCCCTCAATTATAGACCTGTATCATTAATAATGAAAGTATTGGAAAACTAATCAAAACTAAATGGGTAGAACACCTGGAGAGAAATTATATAATATCAGATAGACAGTATGGTTTTCGATCTGGAAGATCCTGTGTATCGAATTTACTCAGTTTTTATGATCGAGCCACAGAGATTTTACAGGAAAGAGATGGTTGGGTTGACTGCATCTATCTGGACCTAAAAAAGGCTTTCAACAGAGTTCCACATAAGAGGTTGTTCTGGAAACTAGAAAATATTGGAGGGGTGACAGGTAAGCTTCTAACATGGTTGAAAAATTTTCTGATAGAAAAATGAGAGCAGTAGTCAGAGGCAATGTATTGGACTGGAGAAATGTCACAAGCGGAGTACCACAGGGTTCAGTTCTTGCACCAGTGATGTTTATTGTTGACATAAATGATCTACCATTTGGTATACAGAATTATATGAACATGTTTGCTGATGATGCTAAGATAATAGGAAGGATAAGAAACTTAGATGATTGCCATGCCCTTCAAGATGACCTGGACAAAATAAGTATATGGAGCACCACTTGGCAAATAGAATTTAATGTTAATGAATGCCATGTTATGGAATGTGGAATAGGAGAACATAGACCCCCACACAACCTATATATTATGTGAGAAATCTTTAAAGAATTCTGATAAAGAGAGAGATCTAGGGATCGTCCTAGATAGAAAACTATCACCTGAGGACCACATAAAGAACATTGTGCAAGGAGCCTATGCCATGCTTTCTAACTTCAGAATTGCTTTTAAATACATGGATGGCGATACACTAAAAAAACTGTTGACGACTTTTGTTAGGCCAAAGCTAGAATATGCAGCAGTTGTATGGTGCCCATATCTTAAGCACATCAACAAACTGGAAAAGGTGCAAAGACATGCTACCAAGTGGCTCCCAGAACAGAATGGCAAGAGCTACGAGGAGAGGTTAGAGGCATTAAATATGCCAAAACTAGAAGACAGAAGAAAAAGAGGTGATATGATCACTACGTACAGATTAGTAACAGGAATTGATAAAATCGATAGGGAAGATTTCCCAAGACCTGGATCTTCAAGAACAAGAGGCCATAGATTTAAACTAGCTAAACACAGATGCCGAAGAAATATAAGAAAATTCACTTTCGCAAACAGAGTGGTAGACGGTTGGAACAAGTTAGGTGAGAAGGTGGTGGAGGCCAAGACCGTCAGTAGTTTCAAAGCGTTATATGACAAAGAGTGTTGGGAAGACGGGACACCATGAGCGTAGTTCTCATCCTGTAACTACACTTAGGTAATTACACAAGAAGGTACACTAGGGATTGTGAGAAAATATAATATTGATGTTTTTACATTATTGCAAAGTCACTAACACTCATAGCGTTTAGGCCAGTTCTCATTCTGTGTATGGGTGATCAGCAAGTGGAATCCATTGAACGAAGAGGTTGTTGAATCCGATTTCATATACAACTTTAAGAAAAAACCAATGTTGAATGCAGTGAAATGGCAATTTATACTTGAAACTGAGATGGCTCTTAACTGTCGAATTGCATTAGCTGTGGAGTTGGCCTACTGGGGACCAAAGCCAGAACCTAGCCTCCTCAGAGAGGTGCAGGGAACAATGGCCTACGAACACATTACATTTAAAGTTTATCAACTTTGTCACCATCCAAGGGAAGGCACCCAGAAAGATAGGCGAATCAAATTAGACTAATGCATGGACCAATCGGGATCCATGCAGAAAAAGCCAGACCACAGCTCCAAAATTGCCAAAAGAACTCTCCCGCAATGGAAACAACCAAACTTTTGTGAAATTAGACCCTCGATAGTTTGCCCCCACCTTCCCCTTCGCCTGGGACGAGAGGAGGGAGCCAGCCTGGGTCAGCCGGACGCCCCCACCAGTAGAGTATATTGGGGGGGTAGAAATAGCCTAAGCTACTCTATCCCTTTGAGATGTATTTATTGCTTATCTCAATAAACATACTTGAACTTGAACTTGAACTCACCAGTTAGTTCCATAATGATCTCTGTGCCTGGTAGTCAATGTTGCTCTGGCTCCCTTTTCCCATTTTCGAGTGGTGCTTTTGCCTTTGAGGTTGCTCTCTTAAATGAATGTTATGTGTGTGAGTCAGGAGTTTAAGTGTACTGGAGGTACATGCGCTCAGGGTTTGTTTCCCTTTGCACTCTGTAAGTACTACCCTTCTTCCTTCCCTGGGGACATCTTCCCTTGGGTGTTCGGGTGATTATTTATTTATTTATTTATTTATTTATTTATTTATGCATATACAAGAATGTACATAAGGAATGTGAGGATACAAATATGGTAATTACAGTCTTGTAAAGCCACTAGAACGCGCAGCGTTTCGGGCAGGTCCTTAATCTAAGAAAATTTTAAGGAGGTAAATACTTGCAAAATTTATAGACAAAAAAATGATAACAGATTACATGAAATGAAAAAAAAAGATGAGAGAAAATTGTAGGTACAGTATATTAAAGCACATAGGTAGCTAAGATTGATATTCCGTTAGGGGCGCTCCCTCGCTTGGTTTGTCTAAATTTTGAACATTAAACTTAAAAAAACCTTGCCCTTCAGGTAAGCTGGTGGTCTAGGACTGAATGTCTTTCCTCGGCTTGGGCGTGTTTGTTGGAGGGGGGTGAGGGGTAGAGTCACAGTGCACCAGACCTGGGTGCACTATGATCTGCACAACCAGTTATTTAGTTAACACAAGGTGCGCTGAAGTTTCTCCCATGCTACTCCTTCACTGTGGTTACGGCTTGGGGGCCTCTTTTTATTGGCATGTTGCCTACAGTATTTATATCTGTAGATATAAAGTGTTTCAAAAATCAATCCAACTAAAACACAGAAATAATGGATTAAAATTAGATCAATTTTGATTTAGAAATTAAATAGGAAAACATTATTTCAGAAACAGGCCATAGAACAGTTACAAAGTAAACAGCTCAAACAATGTAGCGACCCCTTCAAGACTGTGGCCACTTACCTCGGTGATGTGGCCATCCCCTCAATGATGTAGCTACCCCCCTTAATTATGTAGCTACCCCCTCAAGACTGTGCCCATCCCATCAAGACCGTGGTCACCCCCTCTCAAGAATGTGTCCACCCCCTCAAAAATGCGGTCACCTCCTTCAAGAATGTCGCCACCCTTTCAAAAATGGCTACTCCTTTAGGTTATGGTCATGTGTCAATGATGTGGCCAATCCAAAAAGGCTATGGTGATTTCCTCAACTATATGGCCACCCCCCCCCTTCCCCCCAGCCTCTAGAATAGAGAGTATCAAATGTAACAATGTGCTGATTATGGAAGCAAACTTACAAAACCTATACAAGAAAATGTTAATGGAAAAATGTGTTGCACATCATTAATGGCAACTAGAAAAGCAAAGCAAAGTAGTGCAGCAATCAATAAATCAATATAAACAAGTAAAACTATCAGGTTAAGTACTAAGAATTTAAATTATGCAAATTGATTTCTTTGTATAAAAGTGGTCTAACAGGAAATTCAATCTCATTCCTCACTTGATCCTTATGTAAAAGGAACCCTGCATGGAATGAATTACTGAATTTAGTTTGAATGTGTTGTTTACTGACGTAATTTGAAATACGATACACGAGTAGACTTTCATCTTACATGGGAATGGGAGTATAATCTTACATGGGATATCCTGGGTTGTAGAAGGGCTCTCGTAAGATCCCGAGTGGCAAGACTATTGGGAATGGAAAAATATTTTAGTCTCATGACTAAAAAAAATAAATAAAATAAAAAAAACCAGCGTTGAATATAATGAAACCCCATTTTCTGGGTGAAACCTGAAGGCTTCCCAGAGCTATCCAGACTGATATGGATATATATTAGCTTTCTGGCATCAGTCAATGTGCATGGAGTTCTTGCCTACTGGGGACCACGAGCCATAGCCTGGCCCCCTCAGAGAGGAACGTGGAGTAATGGCCTATAGAAACCCTCATGTGGTTGGAAGCATTCTATGTCTGCCATCGTCCAGGTCTGGCACCCAGAAAAGTAGACGCCCCAAAACAAACCCCTATTCTGGTGAAAATATTGCTACAGAAAGCCAAACGAGTGGACAGAACTCCCCAAACGAAAATTAGCAAACGAGCATGGCGTCATCTCGTTGCTGTGCCGCTGTCTGCGCAACTCCCCCCCCCCCCCCCTCTCCCTGGGAGGGGGAAGCCCCAGACCCTCGCGCCGGTGATCCACCCTTCAATTCTTAGGCTGGATGTCAAAATACACAAAAACACTGCCGACCGGAGGGAGGGAAGGAGGGGGTTCCAGGGAGCCTCTGGGTCTCACCCAGAAAATGGCATTTCATTACATTCAATGTTGGTTTTCTGAGGGGGGAACCCCGGAGCTAACTACCCAAAGATAATAGAAAACAAGGACTTACCCAAGAGGTGGTCAATCCTCGCTCCTCAACTCGAAGCCGAGACAACTGGCTGCAACCGCTGACCCAATACAATGCAGGCCCTATGAGGTCCAGGAACATTGAAAAGGTAGCGAGTGGCCATGACCCTGTTCCACCTCTAAAAACCCCGCCCACAAATGTCAACCCAAGGCATGTTGCCAAAGATGGCAACCAAAGCAGCAAACTTACGAATGTCATGGACATGAGGATAGACCGCAGGCTGGCTAGACTTGATAACCCTGCAGACAACCTGGGAGACCCGCATCCAGGAACAGGGACAGAGGGAAACCGGGTCAGCCCAAAGCACATCCCCAGTCACCGAAGCCATGGCGTGCAAATAATGGCAGAGAACCGCAACTGGACAACCCATGATGCACCCCCAGGGTAACCAACCAAGCATCAACAACCCAAGAACCCCTCTAGAAAGCAGCAAACTCATTCTTCGCCAGAAAAGAAGGAGATGGCTGCAGACGAACAAACCTATCCCCAGGACCAAAAGAGCAGAAACCCCTGCACCGGAGGAGAGAACCAAATCCCTGGCGACCAGATATGCAGACTGGCTAGGAGCCCACACCAGCCAGTTGTCGAGGTAGGCCAAAACCGGAACACCTAACAGACACAAGCAGGCCACCAAGACCCGAGTAAGGCGTGTGAAAACGCGAGGAGCCACATTCAAACTGAATGGAAGGCAACGAAAGCGGTAACTCTGACGTTCACAACAAAACCGAGCCAGTCCCTGAACCTTGGATGAATTGGAACATGCCAATACGCGTCCTTAAGGTCTGGGTACACCATCCAAGCGCCCGACTCCAACAGAAGACGGACCTGGGGATAGAGTAGTCATCCAAAAGGAGGGGCAATAAACCCATGGGTTCAGACGAGACAAGTCCAGAATGAACCAGAGGTCTGCGCAGTCCTGTTCCGGGACTGGAAACAGGCAGGAAAGCCACTTTAGAGACAAGGTCATTTTCGACCACGCCCAAGCAAACCCACTCTGAAATGACCTGACAGAGCGCAGGAGAAGAGGCCTGCCCCGCCAGCCCAAACCTCCTGAAGGAGGAGAGGGACACCCAACGCCACCACAGGTCGCATGAAATGCCCACAAATTGTAGGACCAGGTACGAGCAAACACTACAGCCTCCCCTCCACTGCTCTGTCAATGGGATGAACCATGAAAGGGCCGACGCACCTTACAAGCACCTAAGAGACGCACAGGGTGATCACCGCACCGAGCAGAAACAGTACGGTACCAAAGGCTACGCTGGCACTGAATCTGGCACCACTGGCCTACCACGACAGGAAAAACCCCGAGCCCTGACACGACCCTGCCAAGAAGTCCCCCCATGAGCCCTCCCGGAGGAGTAACAATTCCGACATAGGACGGCAACTAGCAGAAGCTGCTTGCGGATACTACACAACCGCAGACTCAGCAAACAGCAATAGACAAAAGAGCGAAGACAGCCTAAGAGCCAGGGTCCAAGCGGATTCCAAGGAAGAAGCGAGCACCGCCTGCCAACACGCGAGGCGAGAAGCAAAAAACTGCATTCTGTAGGAGCACTGTGAACAGCTTCAACAAGGCCGACGACACACATGACGCACCAGACCCAGAGACGGCCCCAAGCGTCTCCACATTCACCTCAAGCCAGTCCGAGGACAGCTCAAGGAGGGAGGAGAAACGCAGGGCCGAAGCCAGTAGGCCACACATGCGCAAATCCTCCGCGACAAATGCAGCTGAAAGGGAAGGAACCTGCACATGAAGCTGTATCACACCAACATCCCGTGGGAGGGCAGAGGCAAATAAGCACGCATTAAGATGCTCAAATTCACCCCCCAGGAAAACCTACAACACCGTCTGAGCCTCCCCCCACTCAAGCGTGTGGGATTGACAGAACGTATGCTAAGCCTGCAAAGAGAAGAGAGGTCAGTCTGCTAACCAGGAAGTTTCCGGAACTTCATAACGAACCCAGTAAGGACACGAAGATCAAACACGAAGGAACACGGCTCCATTACGCAAGCATATTCCGGGTCACGCAGGAAGTAAGCTGCAAGGGCTTCCCACACATGGGACAGGGGAAGCTGAAAACATCCGGAAGGACAGAACCGAAGAACCGACAGGATCACGGAACCAAACCCGGGAAGGGGTAGATGCCACACGGCCTCCAAATCAACCCCTTCCCCGCCCCAGGAACATCACCCCGAGGACTTGGGGCCGAGCCATCCTTCAAACCCCCTCTGCCTTTAAATAAAAGGCAGGAACAGCCAAAAAAGCAGGAACGAAGGGGGACCACTGGTCATATTTAGAAGCTCTGGCTGGAGGACCAGGCTCGAATACCTCTGCCGCCTCCTAGGAAGGGGACTTCCCCGAGATTGCCAGAGTCTCAACGCCAACTAGACTCTGCCCCAATTCAGAAACCCTCAGACGTTTTGGAACCGGAAGCAAAGGGGAAAGAACCGGATGAACCCGAAGGGGAAGGACAAGGAGGGGGTGGACGGAACCAAAGTCGAAGCAACTCCCACCCCCAAGTCTGGGTCCCTATAACCAAAACAGGGCAGTCTCAGGTAAGACTACCTTACCGGCTATCCAGGTAAGCAACGAACCTATCACGTTGCAGCAACCTAAACCAAGCATGCAACGCCTCGGCTACCTGCACCCGCATATCATGATCAGTAGCTTGTGGGGACTGGAGTACATACAAACAACAAACGTTGCCCAATTCTGGGTCAAAAGAATCACTGACCCTACAGGCAGCATGGCAGCGGCACAACTGGTGATTGTCACCCTGAGACAAGGGGACAGAGCAACCGTCAACCTCGCATGAAGCAGGAGAGGACTCAGGGGTCACATCCATCGGACCAAGGAGCCCCCGCAGGGTTACCCATGGCCCTTAGCCTAGGTAACATGCTAAGGAAGCCCAGGCAGGGTACAGCTCACCGGCGCCCCAAAACTACCAAGCAAACTGCTAAAAGCTGCACCCCCGGGACGTGTACACTCGCGGGGGCCTATCGGAGGTACCACCATTAACAATAGAGTATGACCAACCAAGAGGCATCCCCTCAACAGGCAGAGAAAACAAAAATAAAGAAAACTCTGCAAGAGGACAATGTGCCCAGACGGAACAGAGGAAAAACAGACCCTTGTTTACCCAAAGGCAAACAAGGGTAAACAAAAATCCCAGCTGACTCTAAGGGCGATCTATCACCGAGAAGTAAAAGACACAGCGGAGGTAGACCTCAAGGTGACGTGTGGAAGGTGGCCCCAAGCCTCAGCAGCAGTACTTACAGGGCACCTAGGGAAGGAAGCCCTAGGCTCATGCATCCCAAGTACTTGATGAATAATACTGGCTTGCACACCAACCGCAGAGACAGGACCACGCCACAAGGCACAGAACTGAGACAAAATCTGGAGCCAGAGGCAAACGACCTTGCCAGCAACATATCAGCCAAGAACTGAAGGGTGGATCACCGGTGCAAGGGTCTGGGAGTCCCCCTTGCTCAGACAGCGGTGCAGCAACATGATGACATCATGCTCATTTGCTAATTTTCTTTTGGGGAATTCTGTCCACTCATTCGGCTTTCAGTAAAAAATTTTTTTCACCAGAATAGGGGTTTGTTTTGGGGCGCCTACCTTTCTGGGTGCCCGACTCAGAAAGGTAGACAAAGGACTTTCTATGTCCGGTCAATGGTAGACATAGAATACTTCCAACCACATGAGGGGGTTTCAACAGGCCATTGCTCCTCCTGAGGGGGGCCAGGTTCTGGCTCGTGGTCTCCAGTAGGCATGAACTCCATGCACATTGATTGATGTCAAAAAACTAATATATCCATATCAGCCTGGATAGCTCCGGGGAGCCGACAGGGCTCCCCCCTCCGCCCAGAAAATATGCATTAAAATCATCATGTTCAATTTACCTGGCTGGCAAACTACAGAACCTGCCTACAACATTATTTTGTTGATAGACTGCATTTAAAATCACATCAATTTAGTGATTATTTTATATTTATCGATAAGAAAAAATGCGTTTGTTAAAGTACCATAATACTTGATTAAAATAATCTCTTAATAAAATGTAAACTACAAAAGCTCTTGTTAATGATATAAATAAAAGTTTTAGAATATTAATAGATATACAATGTGAGAGACAGACAGACAGGGACACATACAGACACAGATTAACAGACATAGAACAGAGAGAAATCAAAACGTACATAAATCAAGACAGTAAAAGATATAGACACACACACATGACAAAAACAAGTAATATCAATGTCTCACTGATCTCGTTGGCAGCTGGGTTGTGGAACGCATTAACCACCAGAGGCTGTATCAACCAATCCCTGTGTGTGTAAATGGCAGAATTTAATATAATCCACATCTCAAGAGAGAGTGGTTTGTTAAGAGCTTATGGTTAATTAATGTAAACACACACAAAACATTATATTCTAAATTCGTTATGCAACTGTGATACCATTGACTAATATTTTGCGTAAAACATAATATATATTGTTATGATTTAAAATGGAAAATTGTCATTGAAAAAATACTTTAACAAAATGGAAGGTACGAAGAGAGATCCAATATACAACTACTACAAATTTTAGTTATCTGTTTAAATACACAAAGAATTTGTAAACTGCACACAAAATAGAGTATGTTATTATATAAACCTGTATAAGAAAAATTATCTATCTGTGGAATTTGCATACCCTATACAAAATACAGTATTACATCAGCCTATATTTTCTTATGAAAAATTTCCTGCCAAAAAAATTGGTATACACGTAGTATACACAACATGCAGCATAACATACAGTACTCATATATAAGGAAAATTACCTAAAAGAAAAACCCAGCATTGAATGCAATGAAATGCCTCCCAAGTAGATCCCTTAAGCTATCTTCCTAAGATTACTCCATATAAAAGTAAGTAAGTAATTATCAAAAGAAGGCACGAAACCAGGAAGGCTATGTAGCACCAGCGTCATATTAAAACGTCACATCAGTTTGGCCAAGTAAGGAACTACAGCCAGAACCAAGCAACTTCACAGAGGCACAGAGAGCAAGTGACAATTCCCCCATCGCACCCGGAAAATATCCCAAAAGTTAGCAAAGCTACACATACAACTGGAGGATTCACTGAAACTGAAGCCTCAAAACAGCCAAAGGACTCTGTAAATGATTCACATAAAACAAGGGATTCACTCACACTAACTTTCAACTTCTTAGTATCGATCACCACCACCATGTGGCCCAGCCCCAGCCTATAGCTGGCTTCCCTGATCAATCAACCCATCCTTAGACTAAGTCCATTCCATCCAGCAGTTACCCCCAAAGGAGCATTCATCAATTTTAACATTGCTGTTCAATCAAAATAGGAATTTTCTCAAATATAAATTAATATTGTTATATATTAGAAAACTGTGCATATTTAAGCATTGAGTTAGGTTAGGTGTTTAGATTCTGTTGGCAATTATTTGTATTTAGAGTATGTGGGTGAAGCATTTACAGCATTGTGGTTCGAACAAAAGTCGTCAGCGAAGCACTTGTTTGAGAAGTGTTTGAGCATCATCAGTTGTGTGTCGTGTGTAAACAGTTTTTCATTCACAAACGAGGGGGTTTAGCGGGTGCATGGAACTTTGGCCTTTGTTTATGAGAACGGGCTGGATCAGTCAGTTCTGGAACTGATGAACAGTCCACCAATGAACCAATAATCCTGGAAGGAAGAGTGGGAATCGGGAAACCATCGGGCTCCACCAGAAAGAGGCATTTTATTACATTCAAAAATGGGTTTCTAGAGGAGCCCCTTTGGTGGCTCCCTGAAGCTAGATAACCACAGAGAACAAATGGGGACTTACCAGAAGAGGTGGCAGGTAATAGGACAAAGAAGAAAACCCAGGCCAGGAGACACAGCCCAAAGCAACATATGACTGACTGGGACCAGAAACACTGATTAAATATCAGGTGGCCAGAACCTTGTTAGAATGCCAAAACTTCAGAGCCTGAATATCAGCCTAAGACATGTTGGATTCATTCATTCATTTCTTTATTATGCACCCCATACCCATCCTGTGGGCGGTGGTGGAAAGGGATACTAAGGCACATAATAGGTTCAGGAACTGAACCCCATAGTTCATTTAGCTAAGAAAGTGACAATCTTGTGAAGCTAGTTACACAAGTGTTAATATTATATATACATGTACATATATATATACAAATAATGTACACAAATATATATACATATCAATAATCTTTTTATATCAAAAGTAATTCAATCAGAGGCTCAAGTCTCTATACAAGGCACTTTATATGTATGGCGAGTCATGTAGTTACTAATCTTGCTCCACACCCACCCAACTGGGCAGCAGTGTTACAGTCATGTGCAGCATTACCTACAATAGCCAAGTTTTGGATACTAAGACTTCTGGCAGTACATCATTATGAATGAAGTACTTACACATTTCACAGCCAATACACCACAGCCAATAAGCAGATACATACCCATAATCAAAGGAGGGTGGATCTATCAGGAAAAATGAGGTCCGAGTTCTGCAGATGGTACTGAAACAAATCCACAAGAACCACAAAAAGCGCAACACAAGAAGACGGAAACCTCCAAAATTATTACAACTTCGAGGCACCAAAAGGAACTTGGAATCGAACCTGATGGAGAGCAGGCGAGTGATCATACTTATACAGAGAAGGGGGATTAAAGAAAACCCCTAAAGTTCTTCCCCTAAAGTAAAACACCCCTCCACAGAGGGGCACCAAAGTACATGAAGGGTTGAAGGGTATCTCCTAAGGCCTGTAAGTCTGCCATAAAGGCTCTGGAGCAGAGCCAAAGTTCTCGCCCAACACCTATGACAGCAAGATGTCAACACCTGTGACATACAAAAGTGAAAGTTTGGAGTGGGGAAGGGTGGGGGGAGGGTAATGTTGTGAAAGTGAATGCTCTGAAACCTTTGTGCCACCAAAGGGTTCAACTGCTTCCACCATCGAAGAGGATGGGACCATCCCTGGAAATAGGCCGCGTTCCATTTCGAGTTAAACCCCGACCTGACTCAAACTCTCGGATGCTTTGAAGCTGGAACCAGGGAAAAGGGGGTGTTAGAAGACCAGAAGCAGGGTGAACCACACCCACAGGGTAAGGACGAGGAGGCACCAACTTAGTCCATGTGAAGATCACCTACCTCTCTATTTCTGGGTCTCTAAACACGATAGAGGCAAACTCCAGGCCATCCAGATAATCAATATGCAACACTCAATATGCAGCAATCACATAACACAAGCAAACCTAAGTCATAAAAGGTGAATCAGTTAGGACTGAGACTGTGATCCCAAATGATTTTTTCATGGATACGATACCAACATCAAATCATATATCAGACGTCACCCTATCCCCACTGGATTTTGAAGAAGCCATAAACAGTATGCCTATGCACTCTGCACCAGGCCCGAATTCTTGGAACTCCATATTCATAAAGAACTGTAAAAAACCACTATCGCAGGCCCTCCACATTCTGTGGAGACAAAGCCTAGATACTGGCGTTATTCCTGATATACTAAAAACAGCAGAGATAGCACCACTTCATAAAGGAGGAAATAAGGCAGAGGCAAAAAATTACAGACCGATAGCACTAACATCGCACATCATAAAAATTTTTGAGAGAGTGCTAAGAAGTAAAATCACAAAATACATGGAATCACAGCAACTCCATAACCCCGGACAACATGGTTTCAGAACAGGGCGCTCTTGCCTGTCGCAGTTGCTGGACCACTATGATATGGCATTAGATGCTATGGAAGACAAACATAACGCGGATGTAATTTACACAGATTTCGTAAAAGCTTTTGATAAATGTGACCATGGTGTTATTGCACATAAAATGCGTTCAAAAGGAATTACCGGAAAAATAGGCAGATGGATCTACAATTTCCTGACCAACAGAACCCAATGTGTAATAGTCAACAAAATAAAATCCAGCCCATCAACCGTGAAGAGCTCAGTCCCCCAGGGTACTGTGCTTGCTCCAGTACTTTTTCTCATCCTCATTTCGGACATAGACAAGAACACAACCTATAGCACTGTATCATCCTTTGCAGATGACACTAGGATCTTCATGAGAGTAGGCAACATAGAGGACACGGCGAACCTCCAGTCAGATGTAGATCAGGTCTTTCTATGGGCTACAGAAAATAATATGGTGTTTAACGAAGATAAGTTCCAGCTCATGCGCTATGGAAAAAATGAAAATATAAAAACGGAAACCACGTACAAAACTCAGGCAAATCATAACATAGAACGAAAAGGCAATGTAAAGGATCTGGGTGTACTCATGTCGGAAGACCTTACCTTTAAAGAACACAATAAAGTAGCCGTCACAACTGCAAGAAAAATGACAGGTTGGATAACAAGAACTTTTCACACTAGAGATGCTATACCGATGATGATACTTTTCAAAACGCTTGTGCTCTCTAGAGTAGAGTACTGCTGCACAATGACAGCACCTTTCAAAGCTGGAGAAATTGCTGACCTGGAGAGCGTGCAGAGATCCTTTACTGCTAGAATCCACTCAGTAAAACATCTAAACTATTGGGACCGACTAAAGAGCCTAAAACTGTACTCCCTTGAGCGCAGGCGGGAGAGGTACATAATAATTTACACGTGGAAAATATTAGAGGGGCTGGTCCCAAACCTGCACACAGAAATAACATCACATGAGACCAGAAGACATGGCAGGATGTGCAGAATACCCCCGTTGAAAAACAGAGGTGCAACTGGTACTCTGAGAGAGATCTCTATCAACATCAGAGGCCCGAGACTGTTCAACACGCTTCCACTACACATAAGGGGCATAACTGGCCGACCCCTCACAGTGTTCAAGAGAGAACTGGATAAGCACCTCCAAAGGATACCTGATCAACCAGGCTGTGACTCATACGTCAGGCTGCGAGCAGCCGCGTCCAACAGCCTGGTTGATCAGTCCGGGAACCAGGAGGCCTGGTCGATGACCGGGCCGCGGGGACGCTAAGCCCCGGAAGCACCTCAAGGTAAGGTGATAATATACCTCACAGGACTCAGGGTAATAGGTTTCACTGACTCGGCAAGCAGCATGGCAGAGGCAAAAAGAATGATCAGCATCAGGAAGCAAAACACAATGGACACCCTTCAAGCTTGCGCTAGGCGAGCATGGGCTCAATGGGCCAATCCATAATGGACCTTACAAGAAAACTGCCAGGATATCTTTTTCAGTTCTCTGGTGTGGTCTTTTGCCTCTGTGACAGGGGCCAAAAACAACTGGTTTCTGGGCTCTGGTCCTCGGTAGGTCAAATAGAACTTCCACGACTGATGTGACTCTTAGGTATGAAGCAATCTCAGCAAGATAGTTTCCGAGAGCATTAGGACTTCCCCCAGAATATGTAATTACAGTATCTAAATGTAGTTACAAGACGAGAACTATGCTCATGGTGTCCTATCTTTCCAGTACTCTTGTCACATGCCACTTTAAAACTACTCAAAATTTTTGCATCCACTGCCTTCTCACTTAGCTTGTTCCAACCATCTACCACTCTGCAAAAGTGAACTTTGATTTTTTTTTGACAGCTACATACTCTTTCCGGCTGGGTGCCTTCTTTTGATAATTACTTACTTCTTGACGTTATCTTGAGATGATTTCGGGGCTTAACGTCTCCGCGGCCCAGTCCTCGACTAGGCCTCCTTTTTGTTACACACCCCCAGAAAGCAGCCGGAGCAACTGTATCTCCCAGGTACCTATTTACTGCTAGGTAACAGATGCATCAGGGTGAAAAACATTTTGCCTATTTGTCTCCACCTCCACCGGGATTGAAATCGGAACCTCAGCACTACGAATCTTAAGTGCTGTCCACTCCAGCTGTCAGGCATTTACATAAACATTTCCAGGGGGGTAGAAATAGCCTAAGCTACTCTATCCCTTTGAGATGTATTTTTTTCTTGTCTCAATAAACATACTTGAACTTGAACTTGTACATAAACATTGAACATTACTCGGGCTAGAAAAATGTGCCCTGTTGTACTCCACTAGTAACATTTCTCCAGTCTGATACATGATACATATTGCCTCAGATTACTTTCCTCCTTTTTCTGTCAGAAATTTTTCATCCATGTCTGAATTTACTTATTTTTATTTATATACAAGAAGATACATTGGCTTGCAAGAGTACATAACATCGATGTTCTTACATTCTTGCACTGTAATGTAACACATTACATTGAGACTTCTGCAATGCGAGAAGTCTCCCTGTCACCCCTCCAGTATGTTCCAGTTTTCAGAACAGTTTTAAATGTGGTATTCAACCAAAGGTGATATTTTTTTTTTTTTTTTTTTTTTTTTAGATCCAGATAGATGCAGCTAACCCAACCATCTCTTTCCTGCAAAATCTCTGTGGTTCTATCATAGAAACTAGGTAGATCTGTTACACAGGATCTTCTATTTGAAAACCAGACTGTTATTGTATTATTTTTCTCCAGGTGTTCTGCCCATTTTAATTATTTGTTTAGTGTTTTGACTACCACGCTGTCACTGATACAGATCTATAATTAAGAGTTTTCCCTGTTACAATTTTACTGTAGTATATTATAATAATAATAATAATAACAATAGTTCATTGTGTCAGGGGGACAGGAATCCAGAGTGTATTCATACACATTAGGCTTTCATTGAGGTACCCATCCCCAAGGTCAAATTACTGACCCCACCCAGGATGCAACCCCACAACAAGCTGACTAACTCCTGAGTACCTACTAACTGCTAGGTGAACAGCTGCATTAGGTGAAAGGAAATGTGCCCAATATTTCTGTCCTGCCCGGTGTTCGAACCCGGCATTCTCAATTGTGCGTTGAAAACTAACCCAGCTGTACTACGGAGACCTTTTAAATGTAACTTTCAAATATTATGGATAAGCCTCATTTAGCTTATAAAGGGCTGTAATTGTTGTTTTTTTTTTTTTTGAGATATATACAAGAGTTGTTACATTCTTGTACAGCCACTAGTACGCGTAGCGTTTCGGGCAAGTCCTTAATCCTATGGTCCCTGGAATACGACCCCCTGCCGCGAAGAATCGTTTTTTCATCCAAGTACACATTTTACTGTTGCGTTAAACAGAGGCTACAGTTAAGGAATTGCGCCCAGTAAATCCTCCCCGGCCAGGATACGAACCCATGACATAGCGCTCGCGGAACGCCAGGCGAGTGTCTTACCACTACACCACGGAGACTGTTCACATATGAACCCCTCCCCCCCTCACAATATGAAGTTCATTGGTGATGAAGGCTGATAAAGTACCTCTTCTTGTCAACTGGCCGAGAAAGCTTCTGTAGTTCCTTCCACACCTCGTGTTTCTTCATCCGTAGGATGTTGTTTAGGAAGTGATCCTCTAGGATGTCAAGCTGAGAGGAAAATGTTTGGGGTTACACAAAAAACTGGATAAACTACAGTGTCTACATTGAATATAACGATTACAGTACAATGAAAATAAGAGGCAAGTATGATTAGGGTTGTGCAAACTGGATAAACAACAATGAATTCAATCAATTTTGTATTCATTTATAATCAAAGATCAAGGCATTTAGTTGCTCAAATATGTGGAAGCCTAAAATATAAACTAAGGTTTTGACTTCTCAGCTATGTTATGGATGAAAGGGAATAATAAAGTATTAGTAAAGTAAGTAATATTCATTAACGTAATAACCCTTCTACAGTTTTATTTCATTTAGTCAATGTATCACATTTACAACATTTATGAGGTGAATGGGGAGGCACTTTACCTATAGCAGGGAGAATGGGGGAGGCATAAAACCTATAGCAGGGAGAATGGGGGAGGCACTTTACCTATAGCAGGGAGAATGGAGGAGGCACTTTACCTATAGCAGGAAGAATGGAGGAGGCACTTTACCTATAGCAGGAAGAATGGAGGAGGCACTTTACCTATAGCAGGGAGAATGGGGGAGGCACTTTACCTATAGCAGGGAGAATGGAGGAGGCACTTTACCTATAGCAGGGAGAATGGAGGAGGCACAAAACCTATAGCAGGGAGAATGGGGGAGGCACTTTACCTATAGCAGGGAGGATGGGGGAGGCACTTTACCTATAGCAGGGAGAATGGAGGAGGCACTTTACCTATAGCAAGGGAAATGGAGAAATATGCTTTACCTATAGCAAGGGAAATGGAGAAATATGCTTTACCTATAGCAGGGGAAATGGGGAGGCACTGTACCTATAGCAGGGGGGTGAAGATCAATAGAATGGGGGTCCTAAGTTACTGCCATTTTCTTCATTTTATCTCATGGAATATGTCACATTGAACAAATTGCTATATACATACCCCTTCGAACTCGGCATCCAAGAGTTCCGTGGACTCAATGTACTCTGGATACCCAATCTTCTTCCCCATGATGTCTAACTGAAACATGAAGTCCCCCCCAATCCATTAATATAATTTCTCAATATCACCACCTTACCTTCAATATTAAATAATTAAGATAGGAATTATTAAACATACACCATGAAAATAAAATCTCAATATATATGGAAAGGACTTCATAATAGTCAAAATATGCTCAATCTTTTATTCAAAAGTAAAACAATAAAGTACAGTACCTAATTTCATCACCATTGTACCCTACCTTTGTGCTACTAATTCAAATTGTACTTTAATATCCAGAAATACAAATACTGTACATCATTATAATTTCTCATTATCACCACCTTACCTTATAAATATTAATACTGTATAATTATGTTAACTAAATATTTTCTCATTATACTTGTTACTACTGTACAGTACATTTATTTCTTGTCCAAGATTGACCTTGTAACTTTATATGAACCATAAATTTTGGTTCCTTTAAGACATGCCTGAAATGGTATGCATGTTAGTGGAGCTGCAGGAATTTTACCTGAATTTACTTCAGGGCCATTATTTAACTAGTGGCCTTGATGAGGACAGAAAGCTCGTGGCTTGTCAAAGGTCCCCCATTTGGCCCGATTTTATCCAGCTGGATTTTGAATTGCAGCAATGTTTAGGAATTCACAGTTTCAGCAGGAAAGCAGTTCCATGGGTTTATAACCCTATGGATGAAAAAGCATCTTCTGTTTTCTGTTCTACAGGGTGATTTGTTAAGCTTGAAGTCATTGCTCCTTATTTGTAATACATTCGACCTTTTAAAGAAGTGGTCTGGATTAATATCTTCCAAATTGTTCACCATTTTTAAAGTTTCAATGAGGTCATCATGTCATGTTTGATGTTTGCAGTGTTGTTAGCCCCGAGGCCCCCAACTGTTCCTGGTATGATAGTTGACCTGGTTCTAGGATGATTTTTGTCACTCAGTATTGAACTTTCTACAAGGCATATACTCTATGTCCTTCTGAAGAAGAGCTCTCCATGATGGATACAGTAGTCCAAATGAGGGGGGAAGGGAGAGGGGCACCAGAGATTTACACAGTCCAAGACATACCTGTACCTTTTTTCTTGAAGTAAAATGTTTGTTTGAATATTCCTAGATTTGTTTTTTTTTTTTTTGCTTTTTCTGCAGCTCCCACCTGTGCAACTTTCAGTGATTGATGGATTCTGACTCCAAGTCCTTTTCTTCATCAATATTCTGCAAGATAATGTCGATTTGGTAGTTTTGATGTGCATTGTTATGCCCCACATGTAAGGGCTTGCACTTGTAGATATTCAAAAGCATTTCCCAGTCTTCTGACCATTTATGGAATTCATGTAGATCTCTTTGTAAGGCCTCAACATCATTTTCACTTCCTACTACACCATAAATTTTAAGTGTCATATGCAAATTTGATGATGTAGTTTGCAAAATTCTTATCTATGTCACTGATGTACAGTACTTTGCTTTACAATATTTACAATCTACTGTACCTGTATTTGTAAATTTTCATCATAAAGCTTTTAATTCAATTACTTTTTGTAAATACAGGATTATCATATATTAAATTTTGTCCAAAGTATTGTCTATATTATTATTATTATTTCTTACCTTGTCACTACAGACTTGTTTCATCTCCTGCTCGAGCCAGTCCTGTCGATCAATCACCAAGTGAAAAGCTGTTCGCACCTCCTCAACAAGATTGTCAATCTGTAGTGCGAGAAACTAGTTTAGGTATTGATAAATGTCAAAAATATCATAGTGCGGTATCTCAAGTACAAATTGGATAAGATTAGTTTCAGAAAAAGACTGGTAAATACTCATTTGGAAACAGGCCTGTTGCTTTATGGAACAAATTTATGGGCAACATAATACAGTAGAATGGGATAGCTGGATTGTTTCAAGCATACGTTAGATATATACACGAGTTTGATCATGAGTCAATTTTTTTTTTTTTTTTTGAGATATATACAAGAGTTGTTACATTCTTGTACAGCCACTAGTACGCGTAGCGTTTCGGGCAGGTCCCTGGAATACAATCCCCACCCGCGAAGAATCGTTTGATTTAGAAGCTCAATAGAAGCTTTGAGCTTCAAACTCACACTGTATCGTGTACTACCCACTTCTACCTCGCATGGATCAACAGGATTGCTCTGATGTACTAGCCTACCAGAGAAGTATCATCTTCTGACAGTGGCCAGTGCATTCGGATCACAGCCAAGGAGCACCAGGTTCAATTACAATGGAAAGACAGAAGCATTTGGGCAATGTTTCTTTTTACTTGATGTCTCTGTCCCGCAGTAAGCATGTACCCGAGAGTTAGGCAATTACAGTACTCGCCTAGTTGTGCTTGCGGGAGTTGAGCTTTAGCTCTTTGGTCCCACCTCTCGACTGTCAATCAACTTTTTTTTTTTTTTTTTTTATTTTTACATGCAAGCATGCGTATAATGTACAAGAAAAACAGAACAAATAGAACATAGAACAAAAGTACAAAGCACACATATGTACAAGGACAAAGGAACAAATCAATAGAAGACCAGCCAGAAGGGCTGACCACAAAAAAATGCATATACAAACAATACACAATTAGTAACACAGTGTAATACAAACATAAGGGAAAACCCCAGGACAAAATGCACACAAAACAAGCCTGCTAACACCTCAAATACATACAGAGAGGCGAGAAACATACAAGAATAAGGACAATAACAATAAAGAAAACAGATCCGCCATAACAAACGGAAGGCAAAACATAACAAAGAGCACACGCCAACAGCCTGAAGGGCACACAATATGACAAACAAGTGCACACGACATCCACAACCGAACACACTAACGCATAGGAACCGCACAACCCCCCCCCCCCACGAGCCATACAAAAAACCCACAAAACAAACCGGAGCACGCAGGAACCGGGAAACAATACCCACCCCACCCACACACATACACACACCCCACAACCAGGCAACACAAAATACATAGAAATCACTTGCGAGGAACATCGGAAGAAACGTACTTCTCCGGGAACAGCTCACAAGGATATTTCGACTTGTAAGCTTCCCAGACGAGATCTTCAAGGTCGGTAGGGTTTTTGATCCCCCGCGCTCGAGCGGGTATCATAAACTCAGGAACATCTATATCTGGCGGCATCGGCCAATGCCTAAGGTCACTGACGCAAGTCGCATAACGAGGCTGGGGAGCGCCAACCACGCCCTTCGAGGAAGCAGATGACACCGGAGAAGCGGACGAGGGACGCCGAGCCTGCCACGCCTTCGCCATCGGAGCAGGTGTCGGACGCTGAGACGATAGCACTTCCACGGATACCGCAGGAGACACGGAAGGGACTGCAGGAAACGGAAGAGGCGGCAAGACCGCTGCCGAGGAAACGGGTAACGAGGAAGGGGCCACAGAACAACCAGAGCGAGCATCCTTTCTCAACATCACCACCAGGCCACCCCGCTCACCACCAACTACAGCAGGGGGAACCACCGCCCACGAAGAACCGGAGCCATCCGACGCAGGCAACGCACCTGAAGCAGGACCCTCGGACACCGGACCAGAAGTGGAGGCCGAAACGCCGGCACCGGCATCCTCAGGCAAGTGTACCTCCGCCACCACCGTAGTGTGCACCACATCCGGAGCCACGCCACCGTCAACGGAAGGACGACACTCGTCGAATTCGCCAACATCAGCCCACACAGAAGAACGCCGGGAACGCTTAGGCTCGGGCCGCACATCATCAGACCCGGAGGCAGACTCAGCGACCCGCGCAGCACCAACCGAGCGAACCGACGCACGCCGCAGCACGGCAGCCTCCTCAACCACACGGGGCACCAGGCCAGGCACAGGAGGGAATTCCGGATCCACCTCATCTTCCAGCACAGCCGGGACAGACGGCGAGGGTGCAGGGACCGGGACAGACACAGCAGAGGAAGAACTGGAAGACGAGGGGTCTGAGCAAACGGCAGGCGGAAGAGGCGCAGGGACACCAGCTGGAGCACTAGGCGAGGACCCAACCTCCGGAGGAGATGCGGCAACAACAGGGGGCACAACAGGCGGAGCAACAGCTGCTACAGAGGGCACCTCCTCAGCCGAAGAGACGTCCATACCCACCGAATCATCCCCCACAGGAAGGGGCGGAAAATCCTCCTCACTGAAGAGGTTCACTGGTGCAACAGGAGGCGCAGAACAGGCAGCAGCCTGATGGCCCAAAAGACCACAACGATAACACGTCCGCGGCTGACGGGCGTAAAACACCCGAACGTTGTACCCCATAAGGCGCACAGAGGACGGAATATCCGCCCGGAGTCTCATGCCCAGGGTGCGAATGTTAGACCTCACACCCTTAAGAGGACTAGAAGACACCACGTTCACTCTCACACTAACAACTGCGCCAAACCGCCCGAAATACCGCCGTAGCAGAGCCTCTGGAAACTCCAAGGGAGCCCCATGCACACTGATGTAAGTAAGTGCACCACTTCTATCCGAGAGGGTGACAGTGCCCGCACCATCCGGCAGGGGCAGTGTCCGCCCCTCGTATCGCCGGAGAAAATCGCGATACGCCGCCTCCTCTGCAAACTTCACAATTGCCCTACGGGCCGTTACCAACTCGACCCCATAAATCGCAAACACAGGGACAGAGAGCATTTCACAAGCCAGGGCAATCTCCGGGTAACCAGCCCGCACAGAGAACTCTAGTCCCACAGACTGAGCCCGGACGACTGGGGGTAGAGGGACCCCCATCGTAACGCCACGTCAGCACAGGCGAGCAGACATACACCCGCCCCCAACCGGCCGAAACGGGCAAACAACACCAAACTGCTGGAGCGCCGATTCAACACGTCTGCCCCGCACCGAAGCTAGGGCCAGACTCACTGTCAATCAACTGGTGTCTGTGGGGTGGGTTGTGTTGTGGGGTGCATCCTGGGGAAGGTCAGTAACTGGCCTAGGGGAGGGAACTCTATAAGCCTAATTACAGGCTTCCTGTCCTTAACAATGGGAGCTGTTGCAAGGTATAATTCTTTCCAAGTAATCAGTACTGTACTATAAGAATCACCTCTAATGAACTGACAGATTTAACAGCCTTTTATGGTATTTCTGAAGTGTACCGTCACCCCCAAACCCATGCTCCATATTCAGATTTTTACTCCACATTCCCTAATGCTATATGCTAATACAGGAAAAGTAAGTAGTTGTTATAGCCAATACTAACTGAATTCAATAATAAATTTAGTGCCATCAAAGCCAATTTATTTACATTGCCTTCTTCATATAACCAAAATAGGAAATGGAAAATTTAATTAGGCCAATTATGTAACTATATTACCACAGTATACTGTAATAATCAGTATGTCTAACTATACCAATTACAGTACAGGTATTGTATATACTGTACTATACCTGTTTTCTCACCCTTAGGGTTATAAATGTTAAGGGTTTAAAGTCCCAGTAGTACAGTCGGGTTCGTTCGACACAATCGATAATTCCAGGTTCGAATCCTGGGTGGGACAAAGGGTTGGGCATTTTTCCTTTCACCTAATGCCTCTGTTCACCTATCAGTGAGCAGTGCAGTGCTACTCACCTAGCAGTGAGTAGGTACTCAGGAGTTAGTCAGCTTGTTGTGGGGTTGCATCCTGGGCGGGGTCAGTAATGTGGCTTGGGGGGGGGGACCTCGAGAAAAAGCCAAAACATGTATGAATACACCCAGGCTTCCTGTCCCCCAACACAATGAATTGCCCCCCCCCCACCCCCAGACTAAATTCTGGTACCTGCCATACAAGGTTAACCCATTTAACGGTCCAATCTGTGTCATCCCAGTTACACTTTTTTTTTTTTTTGAGAGAGAGAGATATATACAAGAGTTGTTACATTCTTGTACAGCCACTAGTACGCGTAGCGTTTCGGGCAGGTCCCTGGAATACGATCCCCGCCGCGAAGAATCGTTGTTACAACCAAGTACCCATTTTACTGTTGAGTTAAACAGAGACTACAGTTAAGGATTTGCGCCCAGTAAATCCTCCCCGGCCAGGATACGAACCCATGACAAAGCGCTCGCGGAACGCCAGGCGAGTGTCTTACCACTGCACCACGGAGACTGGTTTCCTTTCACCTCAGTTGGTGACCACCTCTCTGTTGGTTTTATGAAGCAGGAAATATGTACCCAGGAGTTAGACAAATATCGTCGATTTAAAGGCCACGACAGCAGTGGTGCCACAAGGTGCAGCTTGCGTGAAGGTTCTCCTCTTGCCGACGACCGCGCAACTGGTCATGTGGGGCGACGCGTCACAATGGCACCTCCGCCATTGTTAGCCAAGGCTTGATGGGGGTGGTGGGGGGTTTCCGTGGTCTTCACCTGATACACGGCCCACCACTAAACGCTCTTTTTCCTTTATCAAGCACTTCTCTTACACAATTTACAAACTCCAACTTTATTCAAGCTCCAGGAAAGATGTTTGCAAACATTTATAGGATGTCACTATCCACCACTTGAACATGAACAAGGTTTAAATACGCCACTAAATAGTCCAGTATAAATGGGGTTGTCAGAGTGGGAAAATGTTGTAAGTGGAGTGCCTCAAGGCTCTGTATTGGGACCTCTGTTGTTTATAATATATATAAATGATTTGGATTCAGGTTTGAGTAGCAACATTTGCAAACTTGCCGATGATACAAAAATCGGTAGGGAAATTAACACGGAAGAAGACCCACTATCACTTCAAGTTGATCTAAATAGGGTTTTGAAATGGTCAAAGGATTGGCAGATGCAGTTTAATGCTGATAAATGTAAAGTTCTGAGGCTAGGTAATGATGATAGAGTTACAAGATACGAGCTAGATGGTGTTGAGATTGCGAAGTTGGATTGTGAAAAGGATCTGGCAGTTATGATTAGTAAGAATTTAAGTAAGTCATTCATGCATTAGTTAGTCATTCATGCATTAGTAAGAATGCATGAATGTTCGTAATAAGGCAAATAGGACACTGGGATTTATTAATCGAAGCGTTAGTAACAAGACACCTGGTGTTCCCGCGTCCTCCTCCTCTTCGGCCATAATGATTGGGATTGCCAGCTGCAACCATACTGTACCATCATGCAGATTCACTGGTTTGTGCTTCTATCCTCCTTTCCTCAGTTACCTTGTCACGGTGATATTGCCTGACAATACCTCTAATTTGTAGAAGAGTCTTGGGTATGAAGTATTCAATGTGGTCTCCTTCAGCAGCCAGCACATCTGCTCGTTCATTCCCACATATTCCAACATGGGAGGGGATCCACAGAAACTTGATGATTCTTCCCTGATTGGTAAGTACTCTCACAGCTCTCTTAATTTTAGCGACTATTGCAAGATTTTCTGCCCGATTTTTATTTAGGCTTTACAGTGCTGCTTTTGAATCAGTGCAAATCACTGCAGCATTAGTGTTCCGTTCAAGAAACCTTAACGCCATAACAATGGCAGTTAGCTCTGCTTGTGTTGAAGAGGCATAGTTCTCAATACGCGCTTTTTCTTCATTTCTGCGCTGGAAAGCATTATCCTTAATTACAGTGTATGCTGCACCAGCCCTGCCATTGACAGGATTAGATGACCCGTCAGTGTTGATTTGATCTAGTTCATCTCCGGCTTCTTTATAAATTTCCTCGAGATACTTGTGCCTCATTGCCTGTGGTATTATGTTGGATTTTTTCGTTGCCATTTCATTGATGATAATCCTGCATGAGTCATCCTCCCAGAGAGGTAACCTCTCTACAGGCAGGAGCTCACGGGCTTGCTCAAGCAGGTGAAGTTCTTCAAGGTAGTAGGGTGATCTGTGATGCCATTTTTTGCTTCTCATGCTTCCTCCTGTAACACAGAACTCATTTTCTTCTTAGCAATATCATTATAATGGGGATCTCTGGCTATCCTAATTGTAAGCTTAGTATTCAGTTCCTTAATTCTGCTTTTAACACTGGGGAGGGACAACTCCTCTCGTAGATTAGACGTTTTGGCAGTTCTTGGGACTCCAAGAATGATTGTCATGGCTTCATTTTGAATGCTTTCGAGCCTTTTCATATCGCTTTGCGAGTAGGTGGCCAAAACTGGTGCGGCATAGTCTATGACGGAGCGCACATAGGCTGTGTACATCATTTTAAGCACGGCAATAGAGGCTCCATGTCCATTCCAAGTCATAGCTTTCAATGCCCTGAGTCGACTTTTGCATGTTCCTATGAGTTAATTGACCTCCTCTTTCTTCCCCTTGTTAGAGCCGACAGTAACGCCAAGGTACCGATAGTGGTCAACCCATTCAAGTGTTACACCATTAATTTGTAGTTCTTCATATTCTCCCCTCTTGTGATGAGAGTATGCTTTTGTCTTGTTTGTGGAGAGAGTGAAACAGAGCTCAATACATTTCCTTCCGAGGAGTTCAATGGACTGTTTAATTTTTCCCAAGGTGGGAGCTTGTATTAGGACATCATCTGCATATCCCACTTGTTGTGTTCCTTCCGGGAAATCAATATTTGCAATGGCGTTCATAAGTACATTGAATAGTGTGGGGCTTAAGACTCCTTCTGCTTGGGGGGATCGATACGTCGTCGTCTATTAATTTTCTGGTGTGTGGTTTGGTCATCAGCAATGCGACATCTTCAGGAGTACATTCTGTTGAACTGACGTAGGTATACTGAGCTTAAAGATTGTTTTAGATTCAGCTACTCGGAACAAAAAGTTCCAAGCAGCACGGGCTATAGTGACCCCGTAAGGCTTACACAACTGATTGATTGATTAAGATTAAGCCAATCAGGAAGTGGCACTTACAAGGTTGTTTGTTGTTTAAGATTCAGCTACTGCGAACAAAAAGTTCCAGGTAGCACAGGCTATAGTGAGCCCGTAGTGGACTTACCTGGCACAGGAGCGGTGCAAGATTTACAAGGATTGATGAAGATTAAGCCACCCAAAAGGGGGCACGGGCATGAATAGCCCGTAAGTGGTGGCCCTTTTGAACCATTACCAGTATCAATAGCTGATACTGGAGATCTGTGGAGGTGCAAATGCACCCTGCATGACGGGAGATGTCTCCCTTGTGAATGTGTTACGATGAAGATGAAGCCACCCAAAAGGTGGCACGGGCATGAATATCCCGTAAGTGGAGGCCCTTTTGAGCCATTACCAGTATCAATAGATGATACTGAAGATCTGTGGAGGTGCGACTGCACCCTACGTGACGGGAGATGTCTCCCGTGGTTTACAAGGAGAAATCTAGATATTTATTAAGTGTGGCTACACCTCACCCAACGATTCACCTAACCCCCGGAATTATAGAGAGTGGTGAAGGATCGGGTGAGGTGATTGTTGCTTGACTCTGACTTCTAGCTGTCCGCCAGGCCTTACATCTTCCCTCAGGGTCAATGGAGGACCATCGAACACTATGCTCGAAGTCGAATTCCTCTGGATGTTGATCACTGGTGTCAGCACCCGAATGAACACAGCCTCAACCGTACGAAATCTCCTACAATCGTCGGTGACATGCACCGACAAAAACTAATTCTCAATTACTGATTATAAAATACCCAGTCGACATCACTAGGCTTGCCGTTGGTCATCTGGGGCCAGATTCACGAAGCAGTTACCCAAGTACTTACGAACGTGTACATCTTTCCTCAATCTTTGACGGCTTTGGTTACATTTATTAAACAGTTTACAAGCATGAAAACTTCCCAATCAACTGTTGTTATTGTTATAAACAGTCTCCTTGTGCTTCGGAGCTCATTAACTGTTTAATAATTGTAAACAAAGCCGCCAAAGATTGAGAAAAGATGTACAGGTTCGTAAGTGCTTGCGTAACTGCTTCGTGACTCTGGCTCCTGGTGATGCCACTATATAATCTCCGCCTCTACGTTTTCACACATATAACAGCGACATAGACGGAAAAGTAATTATACCTTCTCGGAGATCTGGTGGTCGTAATGCTGCTCAACATACATTCTGGCAAGGGCGGCTCCAAATCCCTCATTGACCACCGCTGCACACTCCTTCCACCGGCTGATGTACGTTCGTTCTTCAAAGGGATCAGGCACCTGCAGGCACAGGTATAATGAGCATTAATTAACATTTCAATGACACACCTTCTTATTTTGTGATGTGCGTGTCATGTTCTTGGCTACTCGTACGGGTTGTGAACGAGATCGGTACGTGTACCTGCTGGATAGTATCTTTGTCACCATTGTGTAATTTCATGAACGGAAACCTTCGGAACAAACGAACGGAAACGTAATTTCATGAACGTTTTTGCTCTAGTGTATTATTTATTGACCACTTCGTTAAACATTCAGTAACGCTCACGCAAACATTGAATATTTACATGAACTGGAAATGTCTTTTTTTAACAGCTGTGTTTATATATATATATATATATATATATATATATATATATATATATATATATATATATATATATATAATATATATATATATATATATATATTATATAAAACAAGGGGGAAACAGACACACCTCACTCCGGAACTGCTGCCAGAGTTGCTGGAAATAGTTGCTGATATAAGGCATGTATCTTAAGACGAACCTCCACAACAGGTAGTTCACTATCACCCTGGAACAAGCAAAAAAGCATAAACAACAGGTAGTTCACTATCATCCTGGAAGAAACAGACAAGCATAAACAACAGGTAGTTGACTATCATCCTGGAAGAAACAGACAAGCATGAACAATAGGTAGTTCACTATCACCCTGGTACAAGAAGACAACTATTAACCTCTCCCTATGTAACCTATCTGATGACCTAATGTAATTATTATCCAATAATATAATTATGATGGCCTTCAAGTAATTATTCTCAAATATATCTATGATATCATAACAAGATAATATCTGCATATCTATTAAAAAAAAAATATGCACGGAGAATGTTCGAATCTATTTATTCATTATATCTGTACAACACTTTCCCATTTGTCTTGCATTTGTTTCAACACCTTATATTATTCAACTGGTATTCTTTTGTTTTTGCTTACCATCTATTCTCACACTCTTCTCATCACATTTGACAGATTCCAATCATTTATGTTAAGCTGTTCCTTAGCTATTTTTGTAATTATTGTGCCAAGATATCATTTAGTTGTAACGTTTTGGAGATAAAGAGGAAAGAAATTAAAAATAAAGTAATGGGAGAGGGAGGAAGAGAGGTGGAAGGGAGGTGGGAGGGGTAAAGAGTGGTCACGGAAAAAAGGAAAAGTTTAGAATGAGGTGGAGGGAGAGACTGAGAACATGTAGAGGAGTAGAAAGTAGAAGTAGAAGGTAGAAAGTAGCTGCTACCATCCATTCTTGTTCAGTACATACAAGACAAGGAATGCAACTTGTCTCTACCATAAAATTATCAAAGATATTAGCATGTATCAACTGTAAGCATTTACTCGTATATTAAAATCTTAAAACCCTTACTCTCAGCTGGCTGTCCACTCTAGTCTCAACTGACAAAGATCTAGGGAACAAAATTAAAGACAATTTAAAGAAATAAAGTAATCAATTACATATTTAACATGATAAATATCATAATTCAAGCAATTAAACTTAATATTCACTATGTCAAGATTAATATACCATGTGAGTCACCACACAAGACATTGAAGACACTATGGCTAACTGCCCCTGAAAATCACACAACTCCTTACGTTGCAAATACATCAGATATGTCACCTTAAAGTTCAACTCACCAAACAATATTGAATCTAAGTTGGATAGAGAAGGGGAGGGGGGGGGGGTCGCTACAGTTGACTTGACAGGCAGAGTCTGTCAAGTTCTGGCCTGGGTAGGCCAGTCTGGGGCCTGTGTTTATCTGGGCCCTGGAGCCTCTGGCCAGCGATCTAATTCTCGCTGCTGCTCAATCTTGTATGTCTGATCTGTCTGTCTCGAATGTACAGTTTCCTGGGTATTTATGGGGGAACCGGGAGTGAAGCCCCTGCCTACTAAGCAGATAGCCTCAGGTCATCTACTGACCACGCTTTTAACAGCGACTTGTTTGAAGGACACACCCGGCTACCTTTCTCCAATTATTGGCTTAGCTGAAAGCAAGGTCAGTTGACACGACCTGACCCATTGCAATTAACACTGTAGAGGTGTGATTTTTTAATTGCTAAGCCAGACAACCTGGCGCCTTTCAATATCCTGTCTGGCTGACTCATGGTCTATGTAAAATATTAACTAAACACCTTTATGATGCTACATAGTAAACGTTATCAGATCAATGTATTACCAATGAAACTTAAAAGAACTTTGAGGTTCAGTTCCTCATCTCATTATTTCACTGTAACCCTTTCACCACCACCCACAGGATGAGTGTGAGATCAACCACCGCCCACTGGATGGGTGTGAGGTCCACCACCGCCCACAGGATGGGTCTGAGGTCTACCACCCCCCACTGGATAAGCTTGGGGTCCGCCACCACCCACAGGATAAGTCTGGGGTCCGCCACCACCCACAGGATAAGTCTGGGGTCCGCCACCACCCACAGGACAGGTCTGAGGTCCACCCACAACATGAAGGACCACGTTACACTAGTCAAACTGAGGACATGATGCACCTCTTAGGCGTGGCTGACAGCAGCTTGACCAGGTCGGGGATGTAGGTGTAGCAGTGGAGCGTGATGATGAGGGAGTCCACGTCCAGGTCCAGGGAGTACTCCTCCAGGGTGTATCTCAGCATCCGCCCCCACGCGATCTGCAGAGTAGGAACACCATGGTGCTGGTGAGAGAGAGAGAGAGAGAGAGAGAGAGAGAGAGAGAGAGAGAGAGAGAGAGAGAGAGAGAGAGAGAGAGAGAGAGAGAGAGAGAGAGAGAGAGAGAGAGAGAGAGAGAGTGAGTGTGTGTGTGTGTGAGAGTGTGAGTGTGATTGTGAGTGTGAGTGTGTGTGTGTGAAGGAGACAGGAAGGTGACAGCTAAGATACAAGGAAACAATAGCATTACAAGACCTCCCCATCTAACTCATATAATGTACTAATTACGGTACAATGATTACAAGGGCGCCTTAAGACGCTATACTCTTTTTACACCTTTGAACCGTCTGTTAGCTAGCCACAACAATTTAAAAAATCACCTGTCATTAGTCACTAAGTGTTTAAAACTACTATACTACTAGCTAAGGTACTAAAATTACAGATAGTCAACCCATAATTTACTCCAATGAGTGAACAATTATTTCACCTTTAACTTCCTCTAACAACTAGTCATTGACTCCTGCCTCATTTCACAGGGGATTAAATTAATCACCAAGAGCCTACTACAATCACCAGAACCAATCACCAAGAGCCTACCACAATCACCAGAACCAATCACCAAGAGCCTACCACAATCACCAGAACCAATCACCAAGAGCCTACCACAATCACCAGAACCAATCACCAAGAACCTACCACAATCACCAGAACCAATCACCAAGAACCTACCACAATCACCAGAACCAATCACTAAGAACTAACCCAAAAATCTACTAGCAGAATACTTTAAAAATTGATGAGACATTCGTAAGATCAGATGAGACTCCTCTAGTGACCTGCAGTAGTAGGCTCTTGGTGACTGGTTCTGGTGATTGTGGTAGGCTCTTGGTGATTGGTTCTGATGATTGTGGTAGGCTCTTGGTGATTGGTTCTGATGATTGTGGTAGGCTCTTGGTGATTGGTTCTGATGATTGTGGTAGGCTCTTGGTGACTGGTTCTGATGATTGTGGTAGGCTCTTGGTGATTGGTTCTGATGATTGTGGTAGGCTCTTGGTGATTGGTTCTGATGATTGTCGTAGGCTCTTGGTGATTGGTTCTGATGATTGTCGTAGGCTCTTGGTGATTGGTTCTGATGATTGTGGTAGGCTCTTGGTGATTGGTTCTGATGATTGTGGTAGGCTCTTGGTGATTGGTTCTGATGATTGTGGTAGGCTCTTGGTGATTGGTTCTGATGATTGTGGTAGGCTCTTGGTGATTGGTTCTGATGATTGTGGTAGGCTCTTGGTGACTGGTTCTGATGATTGTGGTAGGCTCTTGGTGACTGGTTCTGATGATTGTGGTAGGCTCTTGGTGATTGGTTCTGATGATTGTGGTAGGCTCTTGGTGACTGGTTCTGATGATTGTGGTAGGCTCTTGGTGATTGGTTCTGATGATTGTGGTAGGCTCTTGGTGACTGGTTCTGATGATTGTGGTAGACTCTTGGTGATTGGTTCTGATGATTGTGGTAGGCTCTTGGTGATTGGTTCTGATGACTGTGGTAGGCTCTTGGTGTTTGGTTCTGATGATTGTGGTAGGCTCTTGGTGACTGGTTCTGATGATTGTGGTAGGCTCTTGGTGATTGGTTCTGATGATTGTGGTAGGCTCTTGATGATTGGTTCTGATGATTGTGGTAGGCTCTTGGTGATTGGTTCTGATGATTGTGGTAGGCTCTTGGTGACTGGTTCTGATGATTGTGGTAGGCTCTTGGTGACTGGTTCTGATGATTGTGGTAGACTCTTGGTGACTGGTTCTGATGATTGTAGTAGGCTCTTGGTGATAAGCTCTCAAAGCCGTTCACAAAACTCTACAGTAATCCTGGAGGCTCCTTCACAACACTACAAGAGTTTTCAGAAGCCAAGAGGACTCCATTAGGCAGAACCAGATCCCATATAAACTAAACAGAAACAATCGAGAATCGTATCTACTTATCGCCAATAGATTCACCAGAGTACCACAAAAAACAATTACGAGACTATAGACAAATTCGTCAGAATTCTACAGAGTTGACCATTTGCGCCCTCTCGGTCACACTCATATATGTAGTGCCCTTTTGTCGGGGGACAGGCAGCCAGATTATATATACAATACATATCGAGGTCTCCCCCCCCCCTCCCCAGGATGCAACCCCCAAAACAAGCTGACTAACTCCTGGGTACCTATTTCCCGCTAGGTGAACAGGTACATTAGGAAATAGGAAACGCGCCCAACCATTTCCGTCCCGGGATTTGAACCAGGAATTTTCGATTCTCTGCCGAGAACAAATCCCCACTGTATACTACCGGGAACCCCCTGGGTGGGTCCCCGGTAGTATTATATATTAATTTAAATCTAAAGTATCATTTTTAACTCGGGTATAAGACCCGTTTCCAGAGAACCCATCGGCACGGGAGACGTCTCCCGTCACGCAAGGTGTAGTCGCACCTCCACAGATCTCCAGTATCGTCTATTGATACTGGTAATGGCTCAAAAGGGCCACCACTTACGGGCTATTCATGCCCGTGCCACCTTTTGGGTAGCTTAATCTTCGTCAATCAATCAATCAACCCATCGGCACCTCCCCGCCTCCCATGGCTGACCTCGGGGACCAGTAGCTCCAGCTGGGCCACCGTCATCCTGCCGGAGACCTCCTCCTCCTCCACCAGGGTGTCCGACATGTTCCCGCCATCTCGCCCACTCCCACACGCTCGGCTGTCTGAGATCTGAAATGTAGGCGAAATGAAAGTTAAAATTGCTGGAACACTCAAGCTGGAAATGAGTTAGGGTGTAGGTGAATAAAGGTGGTCCTGGCTAAAGGTGCGAAACAAGAAATATGTATGTTGTGGAATATTTGTGGTTGTAAATATATATACACGTTTTCGTAGAAAGCTGCATTGTAAATAGGATGGTTATGTTAGGTTAGGCTAGGTTTGGTTAGAGAGCTGGTATAAAAATGGGACAGTTAAATTCAAATTCAAATCAAATTCAAATGTTTATTTAGGTAAAGTACATACATACAAGGTGTGATACAAAGGTTGATGAAGTTATAGATAGAGCTAGTACATACAACGCCTAAAGCCACTATTACGCACAGCGTTTCGGACAGGAAAAACACTAAAGACTAAAACTTAATACTAAGTGAGATTAAAGTATAAAATGTGTTGAGAAAATAAAAAAATAAAAAAGCGGGGAACATTAAAAAGCTAATATACAAATTACAGGTCACATTGACCAATGACCCAAACATCAGTTATAGGAAAGCGTGACTAGTGAGCCTAGCAGTTAAAGAAAAGTTAAAACCCGGTTAAAGAAAATAACATTACCCCAAAAAAAAAAAAAACAGAAAAAGTCTTACTTCTTTCCCGGAGCGTGAATAAGCAGCACCTTTTGTGCCTAAACACTCACAGAAAATGTCTACAGAAAACAGAACACTTTCTGTAAGGGGTTACTTAAAAGTATGCTAAGACACTTTCTGAGAGGGAATCACATTGTATTTGAGGACACTTTCTGTGATAAATTTTGCAGCTGAGAGCCATGGCCCTTATAATAGGGGTCTTTAACAACCCAACAATAGACTGGATGACTCTAACGTCACATCTGGAAGGAGAACAATAGGTCTTGACGGGGTCCAGGACTGTTATTCTCCTGCAGTATATTACAGAACCAGCCCGAGGGAACACCGTTCAAGATTTGTGCTGACGACAGTTTTTTTTTTAGTTTAGTTCATTTATTATGCACCCCATACCCATCTTGTGGGCGGTAGTGGAAAGGGTTACAGAGGCACATAATGGGCTCAGGGACTGAACCCCACAATTCATTTAGCTAAGCAAGTTACAATCTTGATGAGCTAGTTACAACATTCAGTATAAGTCGTCACATCAACAATGGGTTCGAGATCGACCAAGACTCTTGCTCTTACGTGTGTCCACAATATTCTAAGATGGATAAAAATGATAGAAACCTATATAAGAGTCCAGGATGATGACTGTCTAGACCTGCCTTAAGGGAGACTATCATAAAATGAGAGAGGCGTTGTAAGACACCTCCTGGAGGGAGTTAAGAGGACATCAAGGAATGAAAGGATCATGAGGAATTTTTTTTTTAAAAGTTCACCAATGAACTTGTTAAAAAATATGTGCCAAGAAAGAGACGGAAAAGAAGGAGAACTAGATGGATGACACAGGCAGTAAACAAATCTCTAGCACTAAGCGCAACCTCATGGAGAAAGTATGAATGCATATTAGAACAACATAGATTAAGAGATATACAGAAGAGCCTTAAATCCAGCCACCCAGCAAATCAGGTCAGCCAAAAGAAACTACGAAAGAAATCTTGATCAAAACATAAAGATCCATAGACATTCTATGCCTATATAAAAAATAGAACCAAAATAAAAGACCCTGTAGAACCCTTAAACGATGAGACCAACGAAGCTATGATAAAAGCTTTTGTCGTGAATTATAACAGACGATGAAAGGGGCAGCCAACACTCTCAATGAATTGTTTACATGAGTGAACACACTGGAAAGTCTAGACAACATCCCAATGCCCACACGAATGTTTCAGCAGTCAGGGGACGGAGAACGAATTAAATGAGGACACCAGATAGATGGTGTCCGTACGGGAGACATCTCCCGTCACCCAGGGTGCAGTCGCACCTCCACAGATCTCCAGTATCATCTATTGATACTGGTAATGGCTCAAAAGGACCACCACTTACGGGCTATTCATGCCCGTACTACCTTTTGGGTGGCTTAATCTTCATCAATCAATCAATCAGATGGTGTCCGTCAGGTAAACAAGGTCCTTGACATTGAGAAACTAAAAAGATTCAAAAGCCCCAGGTGTGAATGGAATTAAATCCAAAGTTATAAAGGAACTGGTAGATGAACCTAGTCTACCACTAAAACGTCTTTCCAGAAAATCTCTGAACGAAGGAATAAGTTCCCCTAGATTGGAACTATGCAAACGTCGCACTTATTAAAAAAAAATTAAGTAAAAAATTAAGAGCAATTAAGTTATCGTCCAATTAGCATGACCTTAATTGCTCATCTACCAGCTCACGGGAAGAACAGTGAGGGATGGAAGTGTTCACAATCTCACAGTGAACAATCCAGTCAAATCAACGTCACACGGCTTGTCAAAACAAATCCTGCTCACATGTCTGGAAACGGTAACCAATTATTACCTCTGACAAGCCGCCAATTTCCTATCTATATCGACCATCTCTACAGAGAGATGGTGACCCCGCAGGTAAATTCAGGTAAATGTTAGGTCACTTCATGAAGGGGTCAGAGTGTATGCTAGGACACTTTCCCTAAGGTCAGAGTGTATGCTAGGACACTTTCCCTAAGGTCAGAGTGTATGCTAGGACACTTTCCCTAAGGTCAGAGTGTATGCTAGGACACTTTCCCTAAGGTCAGAGTGTATGCTGGGACACTTTCCCTAAGGTCAGAGTGTATGCTAGGCCACTTTCCCTAAGGTCAGAGTGTATGCTGGGACACTTTCCCTAAGGTCAGAGTGTATGCTAGGCCACTTTCCCTAAGGTCAGAGTGTATGCTGGGACACTTTCCCTAAGGTCAGAGTGTATGCTAGGCCACTTTCCCTAAGGTCAGAGTGTATGCTGGGACACTTTCCCTAAGGTCAGAGTGTATGCTGGGACACTTTCCCTAAGGTCAGAGTGTATGCTAGGCCACTTTCCCTAAGGTCAGAGTGTATGCTGGGACACTTTCCCTAAGGTCAGAGTGTATGCTAGGCCACTTTCCCTAAGGTCAGAGTGTATGCTGGGACACTTTCCCTAAGGTCAGAGTGTATGCTAGGCCACTTTCCCTAAGGTCAGAGTGTATGCTGGGACACTTTCCCTAAGGTCAGAGTGTATGCTAGGCCACTTTCCCTAAGGTCAGAGTGTATGCTGGGACACTTTCCCTAAGGTCAGAGTGTATGCTAGGACACTTTCCCTAAGGTCAGAGTGTATGCTAGGACACTTTCCCTAAGGTCAGAGTGTATGCTGGGACACTTTCCCTAAGGTCAGAGTGTATGCTAGGCCACTTTCCCTAAGGTCAGAGTGTATGCTGGGACACTTTCCCTAAGGTCAGAGTGTATGCTAGGCCACTTTCCCTAAGGTCAGAGTGTATGCTGGGACACTTTCCCTAAGGTCAGAGTGTATGCTGGGACACTTTCCCTAAGGTCAGAGTGTATGCTAGGCCACTTTCCCTAAGGTCAGAGTGTATGCTGGGACACTTTCCCTAAGGTCAGAGTGTATGCTAGGACACTTTCCCTAAGGTCAGAGTGTATGCTAGAACACTTTCCCTAAGGTCAGAGTGTATGCTGGGACACTTTCCCTAAGGTCAGAGTGTATGCTAGGACACTTTCCCTAAGGTCAGAGTGTATGCTGGGACACTTTCCCTAAGGTCAGAGTGTATGCTAGGCCACTTTCCCTAAGGTCAGAGTGTATGCTAGGACACTTTCCCCTAAGGTCAGAGTGTATGCTAGGCCACTTTCCCTAAGGTCAGAGAGTATGCTAGGCCACTTTCCCTAAGGTCAGAGTGTATGCTAGGCCACTTTCCCTAAGGTCAGAGTGTATGCTAGGCCACTTTCCCTAAGGTCAGAGTGTATGCTAGAACACTTTCCCTAAGGTCAGAGTGTATGCTGGGACACTTTCCCTAAGGTCAGAGTGTATGCTAGGACACTTTCCCTAAGGTCAGAGTGTATGCTAGGACACTCTCCCTAAGGTCAGAGTGTATGCTGGGACACTTTCCCTAAGGTCAGAGTGTATGCTAGGACACTTTCCCTAAGGTCAGAGTGTATGCTAGGACACTTTCCCTAAGGTCAGAGTGTATGCTAGGACACTCTCCCTAAGGTCAGAGTGTATGCTAGGACACTCTCCCTAAGGTCAGAGTGTATGCTAGGACACTTTCCCTAAGGTCAGAGTGTATGCTAGGACACTTTCCCTAAGGTCAGAGTGTATGATAGGACACTCTCCCTAAGGTCAGAGTGTATGCTGGGACACTTTCCCTAAGGTCAGAGTGTATGCTAGGACACTTTCCCTAAGGTCAGAGTGTATGCTGGGACACTTTCCCTAAGGTCAGAGTGTATGCTAGGACACTTTCCCTAAGGTCAGAGTGTATGCTAGGCCACTTTCCCTAAGGTCAGAGTGTATGCTAGGCCACTTTCCCTAAGGTCAGAGTGTATGCTAGGCCACTTTCCCTAAGGTCAGAGTGTATGCTAGGCCACTTTCCCTAAGGTCACAGCACAAAACGCGTCCCCTTAGAAAATAGGATAAAAACAATAATTGTTCCGAACCCCCCGAAAAAAAAGTCACAACAGAAAATGTCTCAGTAGAAAATGCGACCCAAAACAGAAAATGGGGCTGCATGATGGACAAACTCTAATCACACTACGGACAAATTATAGAAGTTTAAGCATGTTTCTACTTTTAACGAAACTCTACGAAAACAAAACCCCCCAAAAAAACACAGGCACAAAAAAGTTATTGTAGCCAATGATTTTATTCAGCACCGCGAAAATGTTCATTACGATAACTGAAAATTTGACAACCAGGAAAATTCCTAATTACTGTACTTCATTTTTCAATCAATCGTCAAGAAAAGTACACCAAAAAGGGGTATACCACACTTCTCGGTGTGTGGTACACCTCTTGGTACACTTCTCAGTACACTGAGTTTACTTTGTTTCGAAAGTGTGTTTAAGACTAAAATATTTTCACTGGCTGGTCAGTGAGCAATTGTGGAGGTCAGTGAACAATTGTGGAGGAAATTGTGGAGGTCAGTGAGTAATTGTGAAGGCCTTTAATAACCCTCCAGCGGTTGACAGGCTTTCAGTTCAACAGCAAAGCCATTGCAGTCCATATTAAGCCTTATATCACATTAAATTAGTCTTTAAATCATTAAGCCAATCATTAAATTAGTCTTTAAATAGGCGTCTACCTGCTACGTGTGTCAACCTTCATAGCGTAATGGTCCGCGCTGCCGGATCTCAACTTCAAGGTCCCAGCTTCGATTCCCGCAGAAGAAAAGATCGAGACGTTTGTGTTCGCCCGATGCCGCGATCACTTAGCAGTAAACAAGTACCCGGAGTTAAGAAGCTGTTGTGGATTGTATTCTAGGAAAGGTCAGTGTAGGTGACCTAGGATCCGGGAACCTGGACGACCCTAAGGCAAGTAAGTAATTATCAAAGAAGGCATCAAGCCGGGAAGGCTCTGTAGCACCCCTAAGGCAAGACTTCCTCTTTACGACAATGATAAACTACATTAGTCGCCGTACAGAGGGGCAGAGTGCGTGTACCTCTCGCTCTTGTATATCTTACGTATACCTAGAAATATATATACGTATTTCGAATAGGTATTACGTATACTTAGACGGTGCACTTCGCCCGCCCGTCCGTCATTTGGATTACTGTATCCAAGCATGGAGACCTCACCTTCAGAGACATATCTGCTTTGATGAAAGTTCAACGCCGGGTGACAGAAATCATTCCAGAACTAAGTCGACTCTCAAACCAGGAACGGTTGAGGGTCTCAACACTGCAAGCCAGATATGGCGGAGCGGATCTCATCGAAATTTTTAAAATACTTAACAATTTGGAGGATACTGATCCAGATCCATTATTTAAAAGGTCAGATATAACACAAAAAAGAAGCAACGGTTTCAAGTTTAACGAATTACAATATAGGACAAAAAAAGAAATGATTTTTCACCTACAGTTATAACAAAAATAAAATCCATGGAACCGCCTACTCGCCGAATCCATACATGCCAAACCGCTGGTGAATTTCAAAATCCAGCTGGACAAATAGGGAGACCTTCAACAAGCCGCCGGCTTCCTGTCCTCGTCAGAGACAGTGGCCCTCAGGTAACTTAAGGTATATTCTGGTAAACATATAAACCTTTAGGCTATAGTGTTTCGATCCCTCCCGGTAGAAATTAAAATAAAAGAAAATGCGGTTTGCATGACTTAATAATGGGGGTAACTAAAGTGACAGGGAAATACTCTTGGTGTTCAAATTCAAATTTTGGGCGCATCCGATCCCACGATCGTCGTCGCCCCTAAATCAACACAACACAAATTCAAATTTTCAAATTTATATTTATATTCAGGTAAAAGTACATACATAGAATATGTTACAAACATAATGTTGGCTTTATAGAAAATACTAATACATACAATACCTAAAGCCACGAATACGCACAGCGTTTCGGGCAGTGTGGGAAAAAACAACTTAGACTAAAACTTAATAGTAATTGAGATTAAAGTATAAATTGTGTTGAAAAAGGAACAAAAAAAGGTGGGTGGGAGGGACATGACAGAACGAGCAATTATACAAGTTGGTCAACAAACAGAAAATCGTTTAATCGTGTTCGTTTAATAGAATACTTGCCTTGTTGTACCTGTTGTGTTAAAAATGGAACTATTCTGGCGTTCGAATTTCTTCTTGAATTTGGCCTTAAAGTTGTTGATGAAGTGATAAAGTACCACAGGTTCTTTCACCAACTTGTCTTCTTACAAAGAACGTCATATTTTGCTCGTGTGCGAAATACGACGCATAAGGCCAAAAATTGTCGTACTAGAAAATGGAAGCGGCTGGCGAAAGTGACGTACTGTTCCGTTTTCTGTTTTGGGTCCTCTGGTAGGTTAGGAGACGACACCTTAAATTGACCGTTTTCTTGACGTTGGTAAACCTAAGGAGGACGAGGCTGCTTTCAGTGCATTCCACTTGTTGAATCACCCGTACAGAGCACCGTAATTTTCTTACTTTTCACCAACTCCTGTATATCCATCATCCGCTTATTGCCTCACGTTCTAGAGTCCATTTACAGGAGCTGTCGTGTCCACCTTGTCAATTTCCATCAGTATGCTGAATGTTGCGATCATGTCCCAACTGTTCCTTCCCCCCCCTTCAGGATTATGAGTTCAAGTTCAAGTATGTTTATTGAGACAAGAAAAAATACATCTCAAATGGATAGAGTAGATTAGGCTATTTCTACTCCCCTTAACAGGGTTATGAGGTTTATTTCCTTTAACCCATCCTCATAGCTTAACACTCTCATCCCTGGCACTAATCCCGCTGAAAACCTCTGTGCATTTTCAACTTAGAATTTATGCTTCACGAGGCGGCGGAATTTATGAGAGGTCGAGCCGGGTGCTGCAAATTCCCGTATTGGTCTCATTATAGTTGGCTTCGTTCTCGACTCACAATCGGGGATACCGAGTTGTTTGTAAGAGGAGAAACAGTGATAGAATAATTAACAGTAATATGCCCTATTACTGTTAGTGGCTATTGCTAATTATTGCCAGTGGCTGCAGGTAACGCATGGCCTAAATTTGAATACTGCAATACACTTCTTCGAAAAATTTGTACACTAACTTTGCTTCTCTATAGACTAAAGTTTACTTGTGCAAAGTTTGAGTTTACATTTATGAGTAGAAACAAGTAGAAATGCTCATAAAGAACAAAGATGATGTGTCATCATATTCCGTATTATATGATAACGGATTCCTCCTCTCTTTTTTTTCAAAAACGTAATGACATTTTTTCTGGCCAAACTTTAAAATGAGCGCTACTTGAACGATATCTGTGAATATACCGGCCACTTTAGTTTCATATAAGTTCTTGCTGTCCTCGTTATGAGCGGCACACTGAAATTTTATGAAGTTCAAACGATATTATTATGGAAAATGGCGCGCCTAGTACGTCACGGCTGATGCCTGCTCGTAAATATATCCATTTTCAACACCAACTATAAAAATTATGATCCCCCTAAAATATAATGCTAAATTAAATTATAGCGCTAAATTTAAATACTATTAAATTACGATTTAAGTAAATTACTTTGACTACTTCGCAAAATAAATAATAATATTCAAAATTACTCATCGGCCACCATCTTGGGCGACCTATTTGCGGACAGGAAGCCAACGGCTGATCAGTAGCTCTTTCCTTCACATCTGATGAGTTGTGTAATGTATGAAAATATTGATTCCTTAGTAGTAGGCATCTATCAGTCTCAGGAAACTATAGTGTTGTGCTCTAGTTGTCGGTCTGGAGTGGTCTCTCCAGGGCGCAAAGTCAGGGTAGGTTGATACAGAGAAGCTGTTACCTATGCAGCAAGTCAGTACCTATTCTCCACGGCGCCGAAAGCCTCCAATGGAAAGGCAAACCCCAATACGATTGGTTTCAGCGCCGTCGCAGGAACTGTCAGAACGAGGATGAAGGCAAAAACGAACTGCCCCTAGGGACTCCAGCTCCGGAGCCCCTAGGCTCTCCTCTGTCCTCGAGGTTGGTTTAAGAAGGCACAGGGACTCCAAACCCGGAGACCGCCGTGGTCGGGGCCGGAGAAGAACCACCCCAGCAAGGGCATGAACGACCCCAGCCTCCTGAAGCAGAGCCTGGGGGGCCGCACGAGCCCCAGGAGGTGGACGACCCGGTCCCACACCTACGGCATACGAGCGGGGCATTGATATATTACTGATGCATTATTGTTACAATAGTGGCAACGGTTGTCACTGTATTGTTACATGGAGGTGGAGAGGCCCAATAATGCCCCCCCCCTCCTCTGCCCCAGTGGAAGTGGCGGCCCTATACTGCCCTCCCCCCCAGTGGAAGTGGGGCCCAATACTGTTTCCCCCCGTGGTGGTGGGGTTCAATACTGTCCCCCCAGTGGGGGTGGGGCCCAGCCACTCCCCACTTGCCTATCACTCCACAAAGCAAACACCGAGTAATCATCTGGTTGTTGACGCAATGGCGACTGTGTTGACAGAAGGGTAGTTTATCCCTCTCCTCTGTCCCCGGAGAGCGTCACCTACCCCCCCACACACCCCCGGAGAGCGTCACCTACCCCCCCCCCACCCCCGGAGAGCGTCACCTACCCCCCTACACCCCCGGAGAGCGTCACCTACCCCCCCCCCCACCCCCGGAGAGCGTCACCTACCCCCCCCCCCCACCCCCGGAGAGCGTCACCTACCCCCCACCCCCACCCCACCCCCCGGAGAGCGTGTACTCACCAGAGCAAACTTGGTCTCGAAGGCGATGAGCTCGTCGATGTGAGAGACATTGAGTGACTGGTCCGGGGAGAGTGCCACTGCCGTCTCCTCCATGAGTGCCCGGTACGCTGCCATGTAGCCGGCGTACTCCTCGTTAGTCGTGTTGAGGAAGTAGTTCCTGGCTAGTGCCGGCGACCCCTTGTAGAACTGTAGAGGGGGAGAGGGAGTTAATAGGGGGGGGGGCAGGCGGGAGACGAGAGCTGATGTAGATGTGTTGTGCTGGTTCAGGACTCCAAGATCAAATACGTGTTGAGGGAGGAGACGAAGATGGGTATATGTTGCCGGTGATGGGAATAAAACCCCTCTCGCCCACTTTCTTTCCCTTCCTCATATCCCCCCATTCCCCATCACCCACCTGCAGAGTGTACATGGTGGAGTTCCTCTCGTCCGGAGTGATGTAGGAGTCAAGGAAGGTGTGCACTTGGTACAGGGTAAGCTGGGCCAGGAGGCGTTCTAGGTTATAATGACTCTCGTTCCAGCGATCAGGCGCCAGCAGCGGCCACTGTCCCAGCTGCTCCGCCGTCAGCAGGTCGAAGATGGGCGAGTCCGCCATGTCCTTCTCGTGGACAGTGAAGCCTGCAGGAGGAAATGACGGATATTCTACAGTGGAAGTGCTTCCCTGAGGGTGACGGGCCAGCAGGGTCGCCTCGTGAGGCGATATGAGGGAAAGATGTGGAGTTATGAGGGAGGGAAATGAGGCGATACAACAGGGATGTGAAGCAATGTGGAGAGAGGAAACTAGGTGTTGTGAGGCTCGCGGGAAAGCGACGGTAACGGAAACAAAAACTGTTCTAGCGAGAAACGAGTCTCTCAAGGGTTGGGCGGTGGTAAATAAGACGACGCAGGAGGATGGGAAGTACAAATGAATATACTACAGAGACTATACCGGCAGAGGACATGTGCTGGGACGCCAGACAAGTCCGCCAACACCACCCAACCTGCTACGGCGAAGAAAGTGTTTTGAACCGGATAAACGACTCCCAGTTCAACGAACACACACACACACACACACACACACACACACACACACACACACACACACACACACACACACACACACACACACACACACACACACACACACGGGGCCAGTGGCTGACTGGACAGCACGCTGGATGGGTGATCCTGTGGTCGCGGGTTCGATTTCCGGCGCCGACGAGAAACAATGGGCAGAGTTTATTTCACCCTTATGCCCCTGTTTCCTAGCAATAAATAGGTACCTGGGCGTTTGTCAGCTGTCACGGGCTGCTTCCTGGGGTGTGTGTGTGGTGTGGAAAAAAATAGTAGTTAGTAGCAGTTGATTGACAGTTGAGAGGCGGGCTGAAAGAGCAGAACTCAACCCCCGCAAGCACAACTAGGTGAATACTAGGTGATTAGGTGAATACACATACAGACTGAAGGAACTAAACCTGACGACATTAGAAAGGAGGAGGGGGACATGATACAGACATCTAAAATACCTAGAGGGATTGACAAGGTGGAAACAGAGGAAATGTTTACAATAAATATCAACAGAACAAGGGGGCACGGATGGAAGCTTGAGACTCAGATGTGTCATAGAGATGTTAGAAAGTTTTCCTTTAGCATAAGGTTAGTGAACTAATGAAATAACCTATAGGAGCAGATTGTAAAGTCAAACTATATTTATATAACTTTAAAAGCAGGTTTGAAAGGGAAATAGGTCAGGAGTCATTGCATTAGACAACGAACGGCTAGAAAGCGTGGTCCAAGAGCTAAAGTTCGATCCTGCAGGCACAAATAGGTGAGTACTCGCACACACTAACAAATATTATACGATCAATTTTGATGTGAACCTTAGTACAATGACGTGTTAACATGCTCTCACATTATGATCAGTGATGTGAGGGTCATCTGTAATGTATTGGAATATAATGTTGATGACATCATTTGTGGTCCTGTTGCTGTCAATAAATATATATTATATATACATATATATATATATATATGTGCGGGGGGGGGGGGATGTGTAAAAGCCCGGTTTGTCCCGTAACCTCGGAGAGGCTACGGGATCCAGTAAGTTCAGTAGAACTTCGGTTTCAACCCTTTTACCCTGTCGTAGCTCAGTCGATTAAGGCAGTGTCTGGGATGCTCCCGGACGCAGGTTCGGATCTTCGTCACGGCCCTTGTGGATTTGTTTATATACACATATATATATATATATATATATATATATATATATATATATATATATATATATATATATATATATATATATATATATATATATATATATATATATATATATATTGCATATATAAAATACAATCAAGAATAGGCCTAAAAACGGTATTCGAACAGAGATTTGTGGTTGTTCGAATCACGTACTCCAGCAAGAGGGCCTGAAACATCAAGAATCACAATATTCCCCGGGTTGTTAGAGGTCACGAATTCTATAATTAGTGTTATTTATACGGGTCCCAATAATACTCGGGCCTTGATACCATGCCTTGATCTAGTCAATCGGTCACAATACATGGGTCCAACCAATAGGAACTACTACAATTAAAAATATTATTGATGATAATAAACGGTATATACTAAAAAGACGACCTACGCGGAAGTCTGACTGCGAACGTAAACATTCAAGATGGCTGCCCTCCTACGTGTGGTTGTCATGGTAACCAGAGAAGCGCGGGATGGATAATAAACAGGGATAATAATTATGATGTTTAACCTGTTAATGATATAATCACATTACTGAGAGGGAGAGTTAGGTAAGGGAATAAATGAATGATAGACAAGAACAATACTCAAAGGCCTATAGCAGTGGAAGGAAAACCTCGGACAATGCTTCGGCCTAGATTAAGGGGGGGGGCCTAGCAGCTGAGTGGGCAGCGCTTGGGATTCGTAGTCCTAAGGTTCCGGGTTCGATCCCCGGCGGAGGCGGAAACAAATAGGCAGAGTTTCTTTCACCCTGATGCTCTGTTCATCTAGCAGTAAATAGGTACTTGGGAGTTAGACAGCTGCTTCCTGGGGGTGTGTAACAAAATGGAGGACTGGTGGAGGACCGGGCCGCGGGGACGCAAAGTCCCGAAATCATAGCCAGTGTTGCTATGTAACATCTGTGATATAGCCAGTCTATATATCTGTTTCTATCTCTGCCTGTCTGTCTGCCTCTGTCTTTCTCAATGGCTGTCCGTCCTTGTCTGACTGTTTCCGTATTTTCCTATCTGTCCTCCTGTCTCGGTCTCTGTCTGTCTGTGTCTTTGTCTTAAAAAATAAAAACAGCGCTAGGTCATAATGGTTCAGTGTCACGTGACAATTTTTTGCTTGATGCCAATCCCGACCCGTCCATGTTGTGCACATACCCAACTGCAATCACTTAAAAAAAAAAAAAATGGCAGACACTACCTCCATGCGTCTAGCCTCCAACCTCGAACAGATAGACATTCTAATTGATGGATATACAGTAAAAGACAGAAGATATTGGATAAATTATAATTTCATCTACATAATTAGGCCTAGAACGTTGTTACAACATTCTTACACGACGAAACTGGTTTGGCATTTTGGTTTTGTTAGCGATGGTTAGTATTTGCAGTACGTGGATGGAAGATGGGATTCGAACGGGAGAGAGTAAAGCATTCTTAGAGTTTGAGCACATTCCGTTGGGGAGTAATATGTAGAGTGTTTATTTATTTATTAACGAGTTTGGCGGCTGGTTTAACGAGCTTGGCGGCTGGTTTAACGAGCTTGGCGGCTGGTTTAACGAGCATTTGGTCTTCGTTTATGAGGACGGGTTGGACTAACGAGCGGTAGTACGGACGCCTTACATGTGAAATATGAACTTAAATGTATCATATAAGCCTGGATAGTTCGTCTGTTCTCTGAATGAACAATTTGTTTGAGAGTTAACGAGCTTCCTTGTTCTTGCTTCCTCTGTCTCTGTCTATCTCTCCTGCTCTGTCTCCCTCCCCTTCTGTCTCCTCCCTTCGTCCCCTCACTCTGTCTCCACCCTTTTGTCTCCTCCCTCTGTCCCTCTCTCTGTCTCCACTCTTCTGTCTCCTCCTTCTGTCTGCTCCCTCTGTCCCTCACTCTGTCTCCCTCCCCTTCTGTCTCCTCCCTCTGTCCCTCTCTCTGTCTCCACCTTCTGTCTCCTCCCTCTGTCCCTCACTCTGTCTCCCTCCCCTTCTGTCTCCTCCCTCTGTCCCTCTCTCTGTCTCCACCTTCTGTCTCCTCCCTTCGTCCCCTCACTCTGTCTCCACCTTCTGTCTCCTCCTTCTGTCTCCTCCCTCCGTCCCTCTCTCTGTCTCCACCCTTCTGTCTCCTCCCTCTGTCCCTCACTCTGTCTCCACTCTTCTGTCTCCTCCTTCTGTCTCCTCCCTCCGTCCCTCACTCGGTCTTCTCCCTCTGTCCCTCCCTCTCCACATTGTCTCGGTACATGCTCAACATCAGGTAAGTCTGCTAAACAAACAAACAAGAAACGAGATAAAAACACTAACTACACAACCGGAAACGCTCGCCACCTCCACATTCTTGGAATGTTGTGTGTGGAGATCTGTGACATTCTTGGAGTGTATCTTTGATTGATGAAGATTAAGCCACCCAAGAGGTGGCACGGGCATGAATAACCCGTAATATCTTTGGTCTTCTATTCGGGTCAGACGTGAATGGTTTAGTGGATGTTGATTCCTCGCAGGGGGGGGGGAGGAGGGGACAGTCAGCTGTGTGTGTGTGTGCGTGTGTGTGTGTGTGTGTGTGTGTGTGTGTGTGTGTGTGTGTGTGTGTGTGTGTGTGTGTGTGTGTGTGTGTGTGTGTGTGTGTGTGTGTGTGCGTGTGTTAAGATAGAAATATATGTAGTAGACATAATAGAGGAAAAATAAATTTGTTAGAAAGGCGGGGTCCAAGAGCTAATAGCTCGATTCTGCAGATACAATCAGATGACCTAATATAATAAACACGCACACATGCAGCCCGTAGCAGCTGTCTAACTCCCAGGTACCTATTTACTGCTAGGTGAACGTGAGCATCAGGTGAAATTCTGCCCATTTCTGCCTCGACCGGGAATCGAAGAGAGTAACAGTGAGGGGCGAGCAGTGGGTCTGGCGTAGAGTAACAAGCGGAGTACCTCAAGGATCGCTGCTGCCACTCTTACTATTCCTCACATATGTAAATTACTTATCTACGGGACTTGAGTCTTACATGTCCATGTTTGATGCAAAACTAATGAGAAGAGTTGCGACAGATTCTCCAAGATGACTTAAAAAACGCTGCAGAACTGATCCGAGAAATGGCTGCTGGTGTTCAACACCAGCAAGTGTAAGGTGATGGGAATGGTAACAGAAGAATCAACGAATCCCACTGTACTACGAGTCATGTATCCTAGAGATATTAAAGAATAACAACTTCAACGTAGATAATTGATATATTATAAAAGTAACGGCAGGTATTTCAATACTCAACTTCATATTGTGATGTGATGAGAAATTTTAAAATTAATGAAACGGCTAATAATTAGATGGGTGGGGCTTGGGAACTAGAGCTTGATCTTGCAAGCACGTAATAATGTAGATTTACCTAAATAACATACACTACATCCAATCACCACCATCTCAATCTCCTTCCAAACCACCATTACCACTATCTACCACCACCACCACAACAACAATCTCCCCATCCAACCATCACAATTTTTTTTTTTTTTTTTTTTTTTTTTGAGATATATACAAGAGTTGTTACATTCTTGTACAGCCACTAGTACGCGTAGCGTTTCGGGCAAGTCCTTAATCCTATGGTCCCTGGAATACGATCCCCTGCCGCGAAGAATCGTTATTTCATCCAAGTACACATTTTACTGTTGCGTTAAACAGAGGCTACAGTTAAGGAATTGCGCCCAGTAAATCCTCCCCGGCCAGGATACGAACCCATGACATAGCGCTCGCGGAACGCCAGGCGAGTGTCTTACCACTACGCCAATTAACCCCTCATGCCCATGCCCCCCCCCCCCCACCCTCACCATGCACTGTGAGAAGGGTGCGACAGTGATCACCAATGCACCGCCCCAACCCCAACAGCTCTCTCCGTCACTTACTGGTGTTCATGCAGGAGTGGTAGAGTCTCTTGGCCTTGCCGAAGGCGTCGGTGTCGTTGTCACCGTGCGGGGCGTCCAGCATCTCTGAGAGGACAGATCAAGCACAGGGGGAAGGGAGAGGTGGATTAGTACAGGTGCCTGGCCTTATTCTTCATGTCATGGTCAAGTTACTTGTTAGTGTTAGCATTTGTTATTCAAGACGCTAAAATGTGTGCGTGGGGAGAGGACGGTGAAGGGATGGGGGCGAGAGTGGAAGGGGGAACAGGACAAAGGAAACAGATAAAGAAAGCGGGGGGGGGGGGGAACTATCATGAGAAAGCGCTAAGCCATTACGACATATATAGCACTTGGAAGGGGTCAGGATAAGGATTTGAGGTGGGACGGAGGGGGGGGGGGAGGAAAGGAATGGTGCCCAACCACTTGTGGACGGCCGGGGATTGAACGCCGACCAGCATGAAGCGAGACCGTCGCTCTACCGAGATAGAAGGAACTTCACTGGAAATATTTGGCTACACTGAATTACAGTTATGTCATATACTAAATGGAGGAGTACCCGGCGTTGCCCGAGTCGCCCCCGCACCAGTGTACAAGGGGGCGTGAGAGAGCAAATATGAGGCATTGAAAGGACGCCATGTAGGGGAAAATGTCCCAACGAGCGCAGAGAGAGAGAGAGAGAGAGAGAGAGAGAGAGAGAGAGAGAGAGAGAGAGAGAGAGAGAGAGAGAGAGAGAGAGAGAGAGAGAGAGAGAGACAGACAGACAGACAGACAGACAGACAGACAGACAGACAGACAGACAGACAGACAGACAGACAGACGACAGACAGACAGACAGACAGACTCCCCCCCCCCCCCCTCACCACCACTCTGCCCCACACCCTAAACTAAAAAATAATAATAATAATAATAATAATAATAATATAATAATAATAATAAAAAGCCTAAACTCACTCTTAATTATAACAAGGACGTCCTCTTGCATCTCCTGCATGGAGGAGCGGTAGAGCGCGTCGTCGGGGACAACGTTCTCGTGGAGGTAGTTGCCGCAGGCGAACTGGTAGAAGTCGCTGCACGGGGAGACAGTGCGGTCCATGCGGTCCAGGAGGCGCGACGCCGCCCGCAGACACTCCGGCGTCGTACACACCTCTGGCCGCGGTACTGGCACTTCCTGGAACTTGTCTGCAAGGAAGACGGTTCCGGTTAATACATCGACGTATGCTGTGTTAATACAAGTATGCTGGATTAATAGAAGTATATGCTGTATAATAGAAGTATGCTGGATTAATAGAAGTATATGCTGTATAATAGAAGTATGCTGGATTAATAGAAGTATATGCTGTATAATAGAAGTATGCTGGATTAATAGAAGTATATGCTGTATAATAGAAGTATGCTGGATTAATAGAAGTATATGCTGTATATAGAAGTATGCTGGATTAATAGAAGTATATGCTGTATAATAGAAGTATGCTGGATTAATAGAAGTATATGCTGTATAATAGAAGTATGCTGGATTAATAGAAGTTTCTATATCAATAAAAGCATGATGGATTAATAGAATATGTTGTATCAATGGCAGTATGTCGTATCAATAGAATTATCATACATCAGTGCTGTATCAAGAGAAGTATGTTGTATCAAAAGAAGTATGCTGGATTAACATATATATGCTAGATTGATAGTGTTGATAAGTATATACGACAAGTATACTTAGCACTGAATCTATCTGGTCTATCTGGAATGTTTTGGGAAAATTAAAAATTTCAGAGAGAGAGAGAGAGAGAGAGAGAGAGAGAGAGAGAGAGAGAGAGAGAGAGAGAGAGAGGATTAGAGAGAGAATATGAGAGAGAGAGAGAGAGAGAGAGATGTCGTGGTCAAAAAGGCTAAGTTTCTGGAGGGGATAACAGCCATTTTGTTATATTTTGAAGGCATAAACCATTGTGAAATAACACTTACTACCCAGGAAAAAATAAAATAGTTTCACCATGTTAGGGGAGCCCATTTTCCTGATGTGGTACTCTGTGAATAATGGCAGGACGAACTCAAGTAAATTTAGGTAAGAGTCGGATCACCCAAACAAGACCGACGCTCAGAATTCGACAATATTAAAGTGTTAGAATTGTTGATAACACATTGGTGTTTTGACGGGTTGGCTCATTCCGTTAAAAAATGCGACGTATTAGGAGAGAGGACGGGCTGGAAAGACCTCCCGCCTCTTGAAGCAATAATCAAGGTAAGAAAAAACCGGGTAGTGGCAGAAAATGGCTTTAATAACACTGCAGGAGTGGCTTGCGTAATTGCATTTTAAGGTCACGGTGATGCCGAGGAGACACTTGAGGGCCTTCTGTCTAACTCCAGGGGTAATAAGGCCCTCTCTCTTCACCCCAGCTTCACCTGGCCAGCCGTCCGGAACAAAGGAAAGAGGATATATGAAAGCTCTGAGATGTTCCACTAGATGCGGCTCTTCCAGAAGGTGCTCTTCCGGCTTGCGTAACGGCCTGCATTGAGAGTTCTCGTGTGTGTGTGTGTGTGTGTGTGTGTGTGTGTGTGTGTGTGTGTGTGTGTGTGTGTGTGTGTGTGTGTGTGTGTATTCACCTAACTGCACTTACGGGCGCTCAAAGCTACCTTCCCGTATTAAGTAAAGGCTCAAGCTACAGTTCCTGGTCCCACATCTTCAGGTCAACTAGCGTAGTGACCAAAGATGGGCCATTATCGTACGTATTTATAAACCGTCTCAACTAACCGGTCTCAAAATGGAGCCGGTCCCAACTAACTCTCCTCCTGGTTCTCTTCAATTCCTTACAAACATGACACTTGACAGTTATCAATAACATCCCTCTGACTCGGATGGGACGTTTAGATTCCATTTTTGTAGCTTAGTTCTGGTTCTACCTAATTTATATAGTCTGTCATCCACAAAGTCTACTCTCAGGAGTATTTTGTGTGTTGTTATCATGTTTCCTTGGGCCTGCTTTTATCCAATCAAATGAATATAGGTTTCGCCTATTCAGCCTAGTATTCTCCCTATCATTCCAGTAGTCTCCCAACCATCCTAGTATTCATCCTATCACCTTAGAGCACCACATGTCCAAGGAAAATATAATACCATTTAATACATATTTACTTAAAATCTAAATATATCACAACATGTGGGCTCTTCGAAGGCCAGGAGCCACCAACCACTTACGAAACCTATACATCTTTCCTCAATCACGCCAGCGTCGTTTACATATATTGAACAGTTTACGAGCTCTGAAGCACTACGAAGTTGTTGATAACATTAATAACCATGGGTTGTGAAGTTTCCAAGCTCGTAAACTGTTTAATAAAGGCAAACAAACCAGGAATTATTTAGGGGAAAGATGTAAAGGTTTCGTAAGGGGTTGGTGGCTCCTGGCCCAATAGGACACGACACCTGGGCACCTCTCTGCCGCCCTACACCAGAGGTAATCAGAGGATTGACCGAGCCCTCAAGCGTCAGCCGAGACTAGATCTTAAGGGCTCGCTAGCACTCACCTATGTATCACTGTTGACTGTGCAATGTTGCATGACGCGGGCGCTCATTCACGCGCACGTCTACACTCACATATGTCCATGTGTGTGTGTGCATGTGTGTACACGAGTACACACACACGCTCGTGTATTAACACGCACACACTTTGAGTCTGTCTTCCCTGTCTGTGACTGTCTGTGTCTCCTGTGTCTGCGAATCTCGCCTCTGTGCCTGGTCTTCTGTTTGTGTCTGTCTGAACCCGTTTCCGCTGTGATTCTCTCTCTCTCTCTCTCTCTCTCTCTCTCTCTCTCTCTCTCTCTCTCTCTCTCTCTCTCTCTCTCTCTCTCTCTCTCTCTCTCTCTCTCTCTCTCTCTCTCTCTCTCTCCATCACTCACCAATCGATACATGCACACACACACACATGGGAAGGTTTCAGAACATTTCCTCTGTGACAAACACGCGCCCAGTCGCTCCAGCCCTGCGACTGCTCGAACATCTTCACACTCCATTAGCATAATACTCTTTTCTATTTATGGAGTAGCTATTGTATTCAACTCACTTTGGGGTATTAAAATGAGTGTATAATATGCTTTATACTGTATTTGTTAAGTGTGTACTCATCTAGTTGTGCTTGCGGGGGTTGAGCTCTGGCTTTTTGGTCCCGCCTCTCAACTGTCAATCAACTGGTGTTCAGATTAGTGAGCCTATTGGGCTCTATCATATCTACATTTGAA